TGAATTACGTAACTACTTCAACAGCATTATATAAGGTCGAAGCACAAAAGAAGGGGTAAACTCGTCAGGTGGGCTGGGTTACATAGAGTAATCTGGGTAAGGGCAAGGATTAGTAAAGAAGACGGTTCAAATCCTGGAGGATAACTTTTTTCCACTTTTTTTCAGTTTGTTAAAAACAAAGTTTTTTCCATCGGTAATTTCATGCATATGATACAAGATATGGGGCTGAGAGCACCCCCCCCCACACACTCACACCTTTGTGTTGGTCATTGTTTGATCGGAATCTCAGGAATTCTTTACAGACATCGAGAGGGATATGTTAGGTAACAATAGTCTGGAGTGTGTATAGGGATTGGACAAGTGGATGGGGTACCCATCGGCCCCATATCGTGCACGGTACCATATGCAGCAAGGCATGAGACGGAGAGAACCCCCCCCCCTGCTTTGTGTTGGTCATTGTCTCGGAGGAATCTGGGGAATTCCTTTCAGACATCTTGGGGGATGTGTTAAGTAACAACAGTCTGGAATGTGTATAGGGATTGGACATGTTTGGGGTACCCCTCGGTCTCATTTCTTGCTGGGTAGGCCCTATATATTATCATTTCACATGTTGACATTTTGTTATACGCCACGTACACCAAATATAGTTATTCCAGTACACGTTGGATCGGTGTATTTTTATCCATCCTCTTTTCATCAGGTCTCGATAATCTAATGGCACGGAACAAGGGCGGCGCGATCCCCCCCTCCCGCCCCATTTTATTTTCTTTCGAACAATAATGAAATGAAAGCAATCTCTCAGTCTATTTCATTTCTCTTCCAACTCTAAGGATGTAAAAGTCCCAAAGCTTTAACCTTAACTCTCAGAAAGACAATGAAATGTTATATGAAAATAATTCAAGTTTGGTTAACCTTTCAGAAAAACAAATTGAACTCCCCTCCCGAAAATTTGGTTCTGCCGTCGGGAGAAACCAAAACACAGGGCATCTTTTAGACGTATATAAGTATTTCAACGACTTATTTGAGAACCTGGATTGCTACTGTCCTGAGAAAACTTTCGTGAGATATGAGGACGAATCCAGAACTAATTTTAGTGGGGACCCATAAGTTTTTCACGCCATCTTTGTGGTCTTTCGATTAGTTGGATTACCTCGGGGGATTGTTGCACGCTTTGTTGAAGAATGGAAATTCAATAAATAAACGTTTTGCCCTTGTGAGGAAGCTCAGTTGTCCTCATCCCCGTTCAAGGTACAACTGTTGAGTAATAAGGAAACGAGAGCTGTTTCTGTCTCTTTTTAACGGTGTTGGCAGACATTTTCTTGACGTAGGCGCAAAGGCGGGCGGCTGAATTTTGTGATCATTTTTCCCGGAGAATGTTAAGCACGTTTTTATGGCAGGTCATTGAAATTGATAAAATGAAAGCTGACAGTAAACAATTAAGAAGCCAGTCGACCCTTCGTGCAAACAATTATTTTGAATCCTGACTATTTGGCATTCAAATCAAACTACAAGTATTCTAATGAAATCACTCTTTAAAAATAGCATCTGAAACGCTTCCCTATTCTTCCGATCATAAAAGACGAATTCAGATATGATTACTGTCCTAAAAGGAATAAATGGATTTATACACGAGAGTGAAAAAAATTGTTCCGGCAAAATTGAGCTTGAAGGGTGATGACGTCACTCAGGCCAGTCCACGACAACTGGGAAATTCTGATTAGACTTGAAGGTAAACTCGCGGGTATAGGTAGCCTTCGGCACATCTTGCGCTCACATACAGCACAGATTATGAGCGTCACCCAGGGAAAAGTCGGGTACAATTAGAGATTGATCGGCGAGCCACGATCGTTAGTGGCAAACCGTTCCGTTAGCTAGCCGATCAATGCCGTAATCCAGCAAGTCAGCCAGCGATGACAACTAGACGCGGCCGTAAGCCTCTGGCTAGGCCTGCGGGGCAAACGCGTGGGACACTGCATCAAATTGTGATTTTAATGACCTCGGATGTGGTTAGATCAGGGGAGTTTAATGGCGTTTTTAAGGCTTTACACAATTTAACCATGTGACCAACACAGGAGTATGTCGATAATGACGATCAGGGTTTATATGCCTTCTCCCTTATAAAGATTTAGGCCTTTCATCTCAGAACGCACCATCGTTCTCAGAATTGAATGCTTATACTTGAACTAAAGCGAGGTTGCACTGACAAACCTACATTCTATCAGCGTCACTATACTTAAAGGACATGCATTCGAGCAGCTCCCAATACGTTCTTTTAATCCAAGTGTACAAATGAGCCATGATGGCAACAGCTTCAAACGAATTTATCGAAGACCTTTTAAAAATGTTACAAACCAATTTGAGCTCATTGATAATCATACACTGTGAGGCATGCCCCTATACGTAATGACCAAAGTCAAGTACCAGTCTCCTTAGGATTACGCACAATGCTTCGGAGACCGCCATTGCCCTCCTGTGGGAATTGCTTACATCACAGTAGTGCTCAGAAAGTTGTCATGGCGGTGTTGAAGTCTGTGAGAAAGAAGAGTATAATCATCCATGCTGCCTATTTCTTGCGTATAATCACATGGGACGATGATGTAATTGGGCATGCCGCCGTATTGCGCTTCTGACTCGGGTCATTACAAAATGAAGGAATCCAGGGAAAATGACGGTTAAAGTAACAGTTACAGCAAGCAGAATCTATGGAACGATTCTATTGATGTAGGCCTAACCCTTTATAATCCATGTAAAATGCTGAGTTGTGCATATAAAACAAATTAAGAAGTGGAAGAAAAGTCAACGTACAAAAGGCTAGAAAACCAGATATGAGCGACATGCTCTGTGCCAGCCTGTAGTCAGAACCCTGCGCTACCTCATAAGCGGCTTGTTTTTCCGCCTTGTACTCTCATCCTATATCATTCCTGGAGGGTGTTTGAACATCCAAAAGCCCTCTTGCGTGCACCAAAGGCCCCTAACGCACGATGTATTTCGCCCCACGAAGTGTATAAAACTCAGAATCCGCTCTCACTGGTATTTTTTTCTCCTTGTACTACTTTGTTAAACCTCTTTTTTTCGCCATGCCCACATGCTGAGGGTACGTAGTGAGAAATTCCAGTCAACACCCAAGCTGACCTAGGGAAGTGCAAAATCGGAGAGCAGATGCTTTTCGCGTGAGGTACATTCAAAAGAAAAGCAAACAGAACAAAAATAAACATTTGCTGTACTGTGTAAGCCCACTCTGCATTGGAACGACATAAGCAGCGCGAACTTAAAACCAAACATTTTGGCTGTTCGTTATGTATGCAGAAAGGCATGCAGCTATGCATGGGCGGAAATCCGGGGGGGCGGGGGACACGCCCCCCCCCCATGAATTTGGTATGGGGGGACACAATTTTGAATGTCCCTTCCATGTTTTAAGGAAAACAAAATACTAAGGAATTGATGGATCGGGGATTTTCCTGTTTGAGTTTTTATAAATGGAATAAGATAATAAACACGGTGAGAAAAAAAGTGGAAAATGATGCCCCCCCCCCATGATCGAGGAGAGATTTCCGCCCATGCAGCTATGTGCTAATTGTCCGTATGAATCTGACGCACAATCCACCATTTTGCTTCAAAGCATTGTGACACTGTCACAACTCTCTCTGGAGACAGTTCTAGAAATGCTGCCCTAACAGCGCCCTCGTTCGTGGGGATTTCAGACAACTCGACCGTTTACCAACTCGACCGGTGGGACAACTCGGCCTTTGAGCAAGTTGTCCGTTAACTTAGACAACTCGCGCGTTCAATGCGCGAACGTAACAGGGCATGGCAGTATTACAGATCAATGTCTTTCGGCAGATTTGCGTGTGTCGTGCCCTACTGCGACTCGGCTCGCCGTGCATGATGTGCGCAGCGACCTGGTGACGCGCACACGGACTTGTGGGTGGCCCGTCGGGGCCGCTCCAAGCAGCGTGGTGTGAAGCCGCGACGCCAGAATGCAGCATCACGGTGGCTCGGCGCACCATCCGAGGTAAACAGGTAGACGACGGTAAATCTGTCTCCCAGTCACAGACATGTTTCTTGTTCCTTCCTTTCTTTTTTTCAACTGGGAGAAAGAGGCGTGGGCGAAGTGACTGTAAAGCGCACGTGCACTCATTACAAGTCGACCTCTCTTGATCGACTTGTCCCAAACGGTCGAGTTGTCTCTTGACTTGAGTCACAGCCGGGCGTGTCCCACTGGTAGAATTAGCAAACGGTTGAGTTGCCTGAGCCCCGTTCGCGGGATTTGATGTTACAAATACAAATATGGAAAAAGACACGAAACGTTAATTCTCAGAAATATGAACGAACAGTAATTTCATATTCTCTTTTTTCTTTTCTTTTTTTTCGTTTATTGGTTTTGATGAACCACTCTGAAACAAATTGCTCCTTACTTTATAAACATACAACTGTACTAATGAAAGAGCCTGCCGTATTGTGTGTACCGGTGGAGGTTTTCAAGTTGACGCTAACCTTCTCCGGGCCAATCCCCGATTTTGGGCCTGAAACGTTTACATTAAATTGGATTACTGTAAGTTTTGGTTCTCTTGCATCTTATTTGATGTTTTGTGCCACTATTAGAGTAATGAGTGCGCTTACTGCTTCAAAGTGAGGTAGTAAAAAACAATTGAAGCCTGAGACGGAGCCGAATTGAGTATTGGAAAACGGCCCTAGACAGCCACGAAGAAATTTGTCTGGTTAAGCTGGGGTAAAAGACCGAAAAAATAGAGGGCGCGCCACCAACGTGTTACAAGGACAGGTCACGCCCGGCGGAAGTGCAAGTGACTGAGCACACTGTACCGTATGCTTAATAGCACCCACAGCAAATGAACATTACACCATACAAAATGAAATTCTGCCTCAACTGACGATTAGCATATTTCCCGTATTTGCTGTATAATTACAGTCTCTCTTGAATTAGACACTGTCATAACTTTTAAATGCAGAAACAAGCATTGTTGACAATCGCCTTCTTTTTGAAACGGCTGTAATTTTAAAGTTCGTTTTAAATCAAGTTGGAGTATTCTGTTCCATTTAAACATTTCAGCAGTACACTCAAACCTAGTAAGCGGCCATTGTTATAGTAACAATTTCAAAATTACCTGTGAAACAAAGTACACTTAATTAAAACCGCAATATTTAACACTTCCAGAAGAGCCACGCCAGGTTCAAAAATGAGATGGTGCCTATTCTTCAGCAAGTTTTACTGCCAGAAGTGGACCGACAATCGCTTGTTTGATGTTGATTTGATGATTTGGAGAACAATAGTACAAAGTTTCCAAAAGTTGCTGTCATTACTACTGACCTGCCAGAACAGCTTTAAATTTTTTTCCAACAAAACTAGAGTGCTGCATTTACTAAAGTAATATAATGTTACCAGCAGAAGACAATCCATGTTCAGTTTATTTCAAGTGGTGGGACTGTGAATTCAACTCTTCAGAGACAACTGATTATGCAGTGAGCACATAAATGTATCTATTGTGCAATGTACATCTGAACACCCTCAAATCTACAAACAATGTGATTGCGCCAAGAGGTAGGAGCTTTGAACACTTTTTTTCAAGATGTATTTTTTGCGTTGGGAAGATGTTAATTATATATAACGGTTTGCCCTCTCGGACAAGCACTGAGCATACAGTGCTTATTAATATACATTGAGTAGGGGAAACCGTTATATATAAGCTTTGAACACGTTGGCAACTATGTACTGAGCTATGCTTTTCACTCTGTCTTGGCATGATTAGACGCACTTGTTGGACAGAAGCAGGTTACAAGTTGAGCCAACATAATTCCTATCTCCCGGGAACTCATTCACAAATGGTACCTTTGCTTGACACAGGCCAAATACTAACTACTTTGAATAATGCATCAAAGTATTCTTGTGCCCAATTGATAATGAAGAGTAACTACTTTCGTGACTTTGAAAATGACCCTAAAGTCAATTATTGTTAGACTAAATGCCAAGGTACAATCAACTTTGGTTAAGAGGGAGCACAGTTCCCAGTGTCAAGTTTTGTTTTCGTTCTGTGAAGAAACAAGCCAACTGACACAGAAAATAAGCTGCAATTACAACTTGCTCCAAATGATTGCAGTTGGTGGTTCCCAATCATGATCATGCCCAATCATGACCATTTCGAAGTCAGTTATATTCCCAATTAAGCTAATTTCTTAGCAGGCCCTTTCCAAATCAAAACCACAGACGTCAAAAAAAAATCTGGACTCGCAATGCTTTTGAACCGAAGGAAGCCATCGGCGGCCATTTAACTGTGCTGAACACAAAGGCAATGGTTGACTCACTTGCCATTCTAAATATTGATACCAGGAACAAATTTGATTAACAACGGCGAGTAAGCTCTGGTGTTACATTTTTATTCGGCACAGTAAGATGGCTACCTGGTGGCTTCAATGACCTCTGCGGGCGGGTTCAGGGATTATGTGCCCAGATCTTTTCATATGAAGTCCGTGAATCTAGCCCAATTCATATCAAGCCCATCCCAAATTAGGACCAATTCCAATCAGGACCATTCTTTAGGCAGCCACCTTGCTTGGGTGTTCAGCCACTTGCCATGCTGAATGTAGGTCACTACCCAGCTGGGGTCGACCCCAGCCGAAAAGTCCCGGTGAAATCTGCATGCCAAAGAAAGGCACAGAGGACCATGAAGAGATCACATAACATCTGGGAGCAACATTGGTGTAAACTTTTTTTTTTTCAATGCAAAAAAGCAGATTATTTTCAATGCATTAATGTCAACTGTATTTTGTGAAGTGGTATTGTCATCATTACTTACTCATACGTGCAGCTGATAACACTTCCCATGTTCTGGAATTCCTCTTCAGACACCCCTGGGGGTGGCTTTCCAATGCGTAGCCCCACCACGCCCCTGTCGCTCTCATCATTTGCCATGCTGTGACACCAAAACCGCATCAGAATGTTCAAGAACTTCCCACCTGCTTTGAAGAGACAACACAAACACATTGCTGTTCCAGTATCAATGCTGTTTTTATAAAACCTTTGCACTCATGGGACAGTGAATTAATACACAAGACAGAGTAGCATATTTATTAGGAAAATTAAGCTCAACCGTTTCATATCAGAGGGAGCACCGAAAGACCCTCACCTCTCTCATCATAGTGGACGGCGACATTCTGAGGGAAGACATGCAAAACGTCGTCCGTGTTGACTTGAATGTTGGTACGATCTCTGAGAGCCAGACTCTGACAAGTTTCCTTCACTTCATCGAGAAGCTTTAGTGGCAGGACAAAACAAAAAATAACACAGGATGACAAAATGTTTTGTTTCGTCTTGTGCAAGGGAAAGGTACAAAAACGTTGCTTCACCATTTTCCTTCATGGTGGCATCATTTATTTATTAACCTAAACTCAAACACTGTGCTACTATTATTAATATTATTTAACTTTCTATGTATTACACATAACTGAAATTCACATGTAACTCTGTTATTCATAATGTCAATATGGAAATAAATGTTGTTGAATTGAAATACTATCCAACAGAAATCAAATGGAAATCTTTGTGTCCCAAATAATATGGTACTACCATGTAGCATTGAAATGACAGTTTAATTTTCAAAAGAATTCAAGCTACATGTAACTCTCAAACCTGTTTCATATCATTTCCTCCAATGTCAAGTCTTCAAATCAAAATTCTTCAAATTCAATGTGGTGTTACCGTGTTAAGGCCGATATCACTCACTGATTAAATGACTTATTGTCATTTCATTTACCTTTCTGGAGAGCAGACCGTCTAGTTGGTCAAAGTTACCTTCTGCAATGCAGTTTGAGATTGTGCAAAGAGCCTGCAATTTCAGAGTTATATAAACCAAAAAGAAATGAGAAAGGAACTGATTTGAGAGAATGCATACATGTTCTTGTCAGCCTTACCGTCTGCTTATGAGTTGTGATCAACCCTACTGCTATTACCACTGCCAGGTATCATTAAAACGGGATCAAATCACCCTTGCAAGAACGATACCAGAATTTCAACGTTGAGGAATCTGCTCACCGCCAATTTCTGTCTTAATATTAAATAAGCTTAAAAATACATACAAAATACTCAGCGATAACAATTGGCATACATGTACATGTACATTGCTCAGATGAACATGGTATTGTGCATGTACAGTACATGCATCTACAGAGGCTTTGCGTGGTAGCAATCTTACAAGGTACATGTACATGTAGTTCTTTTATTCCACAGGGAAACCTCCTCTGTACACAACCTGTGGGACAAAGCACTGGCCTGCAAGATGGTAGCCATGCAAACCCTCTATTAGGTGTGATCAGTGGATCTGCAAGACTGCTTGACTTTTGACAGTTTGAGCAATCTTTCCATCTTACTGCATGATTTCTCAATAATGCTGTCATCAGCCAATCAACTTTTTTTTTTAATATGTGGCTGTGAAAGGTTGTTTAAAAAAGGAAAGTGACGTCAGAGATTTCATACAGGATCAAGTGAAAGCACAAATGTCCTGTTCAAAGGAAATGATAATATTCATCTTAAGGATTAGGGCATCTTTTGCAGAATTTCTTCAGAAACATATTATTATACAATAATGTAGTATTGCAATCAAATTTAGCAGCAATGAAAAAAAATTCACATTTTCTGTCATAGATTCTGAACTTAGAGCCGTTTCCTTTTTTCAATTCCTACCAAGTCACACCTACTCAAATCAGAAGTAATGACCAGCCTGTCTTTCTACCCAGGCTCCCTCTAGAAAAAGGACAGCCATGACTGTAAAAAAAATAACCCGAAGAAGTTTGCATTCTGATGCCAGTTTTTCCTCTACATAATATCTCAACAGCTGTAACTGCCAAAAAAAGTTGTAAGGGAATGGATCTGACACTAATGTTGTCAGAAAAATACAAGTACTAACAATAGAAATAGAAATAGGCCTACATGTAATTAGGCCTACTCTGACCACTTGAAAAGTCATCTAAAACCATCTGCAGACTCATTTCAACATGTTTTCAAATAACCTTGTGATGGAATGGGGCAAGGGTTCCATAAATGGACGCCACATGACATCTCATGCAGTTATGGCAGTAATGGTCTACAAATTGTAAGCAATATTTTCCCTGCTAAATTTGGCTTATTGGGTCATGTTATAGCTTTCAGATGGCTAATAGTAATAGTAATAGAAAACTGCAGGGAAAATCAATGGCATCTGTACATGGAATTCTTTCCTGGAGTGACCATCCTGGAAAACGATACCTGCTTAGCTCCCGAAATGAAGTCTTCAGCCCTGAAATCTGCATCAAAATAGGTCCTTATCATCCAGAAATAAATTTTGTTCCTTATGACTTTGAACGGATTCGGAATGGCAACAAACACTGGCTTCACTTTATTTTCTCCGTCCCGATCGTGTCCATCATGCATGCTGTTCGAATACAGTCGTATTGTTGACGCACATACTGCGCCCACAGCTGAAAAACAGATCGGCGAGGCACTGGTAAGACCGATACGCTTTACCGCGAGCTGAGAGTTAATTTTATTTCCAGTTCCAGTTAGCCACTGAGTAGAGCACATGTGTCTTCTTGATCCATTTCTGTTACTGAACATCGGTAAAACTGATAATTTGGTGAAATTTTGGGCATGGTTCACCTGAAGTGAGCGCCACAAAAATTGTCGACAGGAGGCTGCCATATTGGATTTTATTTAGGCCAGTCAAATTGATGCAAATGTTAAATCGACCTTTTTGAACAAAATTTTTGTTAAAGATGCAGTAATAATTTATACAAGAATATGTGGCTTTTTGATATTTAATTTGAAGTTTTTTGTCCTTTTCAATCACTAGACCTAACTGTTACTGAATGAAATCTGTGTATGTATGTACTAACCTGCTCACTTGGTTAGAGGGCGCACTACGAGGTGACCACCGGAGATCAGTGGTAGTGACATGAGCGAAGCATGAGTGAAGCCCTTCCTGTCACGATTTTTCGTTAATTTACTCAGTGGTATTATGAAAATGTAAAAAACTTGGAGTAGGGCCTACTCTTGCTTCTACTCGCGAAACTCAAACATGACTGAAAATGTGTACATTTTCGAAACCGTCGACAAAGACTTTTTTATGTCAGAGGTCTATCCACAGGTTTGTCATTTTCATCATCTGCATCCAGCACAGAAGTTAACCTTGTCAACTATGGCATGGGGCTCTTTTTAGACGCCACTCAACACCCTGTGCAGAAACCCAGTGGGACTGAGAAAATTTCAGGAAATACATGTAGGCCTAGTTCCATAGACCTTATCGGAAATACTGCATCAGTGCCTGAGTGATCAGTGCCTGAGTGATTATGCACAGTGTCATTGTGGGAATGAAGATGGGGCAATGTTTGCTCCTTTTCCCTTCCCACAATGCCATTTCGCCATTGTGAATAATAACCCATGAAGTATTTGCGATAAGGCTTATACCCAGGCATCACTTGAGTACACCCTGTGTACAAATGCTATGAGACTGGTCTGAAAATGTTAGGTCTAAGTGTTTTCCAAGTACATGTAAATGCTAATAGTTAACCTGCTAAAACTTAAGCCTAAATAAGTCTTTTTTAAATTTGGGTATTGTCGTCATGCTAACACTTCCATCATTTTTGTATACAAACTTCACTATTTTTCCCTTGCAGTGGTTTATACTAGCCATTAGGCAGTGATGTGGAACACTTTCCATTGTCACTTTCGGTTGGGCGTAATTCACTACACATGCAATGGTAAATTAATGGTGTCCGTGTAACCTCTTACCGACTTCTATACATATGGACATCACTCATTTTCCCTGAAGTGATAATCAGCCACAAGAAAGTGATACCATGCCCTTTAACGTCAAATTTAGAAGCAAAATATTATGAAAGTGTTATGTCCCTACTGCATGTATGGCTGCGGTCCCAACTAATACTGGGGCCAGTCCCAACTATAGTTGGGTCAGTCCCAACTGCGATACCATGTTGGGAGATTCCAACTTCTGTACGGACAGGAGACAGCGCATTGCTATTATGAATAATGCATTTGATCAAGTTGAGGGACAAGTTACTCGTTGGCACATGCAGATACATGTATGGTCAACTTCATTGAAAGCAATATGCTGGTACAACATTGAGCCAAACTCTGCACTTCAGTAATCAGTACTAGGACCAGGTAAGTTTGTCATCAGTTCCTGCCAGTTCTGTGACAGGATTTTAAAAGTTCAAGTGAGATACCTCCATAGTTGGGACCGCTTCCTTGCCCCTGCCCAACTGTGGCAGACATTGATCCAAACACTGCTTTATCAGTGTCAGGACCAGCTTACATGTACACGTAATTTGGTTCAGACTATGTTAATCAAGGGCTCGCAGAAGCATAGGTACCAGTACGTGTAGTAAAAGAGTCAGAGTTGAAATTGGTTATTTCGCTTGACTCTGCCAATTGGTTGTTCTTACAACCAATAAATATGCTAGAATTTACGAAAAGATGATCACGCAGTTGCAGATCTAAATGCTGATGCCCATCAACTGCCCCAGCCCCCCCCCCCCTCCGAAAGCTACACCCATCCCTGTCATGCTACTGATATGCACTGCCCCAAATGGGAGTGGCCTGAGTATAGTTGGGGATGTGGCCATAGTTGGAGCATAACAAAAGTATTTTCATGTCAGTCTCATAATGTGGGATTTGTGCAAAGGATGTCAAGTGATGTTCCAGTGTGGAATTCTTTCCACGGTTTGTCCATCCATCTCTGAGCCTAGAACTATTTGCTGTGTCGCTCTGCCTATCCAACAAACCACATGCTTCTGCAGGATATTGATTGACCTGTTTTACCATGAACAAGAACAGGTTCCTACAGATTTCATTTTCTTTTAGGTTAGCATGACACTTCCAGTGGAAGTTTTTATCTAGCTCAGGAAAGCTGAAATGGACTGAAAAGTTATTTTTAGATGATAATTTTAAGTCGTTTTGGTGCTTATAAAACTCTAGAATTGTGGTAGATGGATATAGTAAGTTCTGTTTCTTAAATATTTTAGCAAGGCCCTGGCCTTTACAGCCCTGACCAAGCCATTTTAGTAGTGTTAAGTAGTGGCCACTGCGTTGTAGTTTTTCTCGCCATGCCTGCCTTGCATGGCTCACTTGGCTCATGCAGCTCATAAATGACCTTCCCAAGTAGATATTTTACACTAGTTTGTGTTTTCTTTTAACTGTTACATGTATTACCAGATTCAATAATTAGGATCCAAGATATACAATTGTATTGTGGATCGCGTGTATTCATAATGGGAATTGGCATTTACTGCTTGTGTATTGAGACTTACATGTGCATGTTTAAAATGTATGTGTACAATGTAGTCACAGGCCACATGGTCTGAATGCTTGATGCATGAGACAGATAACTACAGTTATTTAATTGGAAGCCTGTGGTGTTTCAAGTGGTTGCTTAAATTGATATCAGCCCTTTGAAATTGATTGTAAAGGGAAAGATAGACCACATTTATTGGAGGAAAAGTTATGCCTGATAACAACTCTATCTACATCTGCCAATAGTCTTGAAGTCTTTCTGTTCTGATTTCTGGCAGAGGAAGCCTGCAGTCCTCCGAGGGATAGACATTGGGGACTGCACATCCAGATGGACAGAAGGCTACCTTTGTGAGAAGGTTGGATCCCAGGAGGTCAAAGTTCATGTCAGTCCAACCGCAAAGATGGACTTCATCAGCAAAAATTATGCCTACAGGTACGTATGTGTACATGTTGCAAAACAGAAATGCCCATATATGTGCTGTTGAGAGTGAGAGCAGTCTACTGTCTATAGAGTCATCATCAATTAAGTCCTGCATATACACTGTATAAATATCCATGACTGAACTGATTTTATGGCTTCTTGCTTGTAGACTTTAGTCTTTTGAATATAATAAAGTGATCACAAATAGGAATTACTCTGTAGTTTCTCTCCAGTAATACATATAGCATCCAAACTGGGCCATTTGTATTGTAGAACATATTTTGGAGGAACTGATGAAATTGACAGTAGTATTTTTTTTGTCTAATATTGATAACTAAAACTTAACTTTACAATTCATCTTTTGTTATATTTATGATACTTGTAAAAGCTCACAAAAAAGATGAAATCCCCTCCCCCAGAACAGAAAACAAATGATTCATGACTCGCAAAAAGAAAAATTTTGGTTACCATAGATTTTCTTCTTTGAACTTACATTTACAAGTACATAGTACATTGTATGAAGAAATTTTATAGGTTGTAAGGGTTTTCAAAGAGAAATGGATACATTGTCCTGTTGACAAGCATGCTGGTAACATTCAGGCTGGTGCTGCAGAGAAGTGCCATCAGTACATGCAATTATTTTCAGAAGGGGCAAGGTCCCACTCTTTTTTTAATGCTTTCCTTGGAAACAAAGCATCCAGATTTTACAGCCAGAGTATCAGTCCAAGCAAAAATTTGTCATATCAGAAATTAGGAATGAAAATGAATTATGTTCAACGTATAGTACATACTTTACTTGTGATTGTTTTCATTTTTATTGTAATTGCTATTTCCTCAGGACATTGCCGTTTGACATCTTTGTGAGACGAGCAGCTGAACATACGCATGATGAATTCTTCTTCAAACCAGTAGGTACATTCTGCATGACTTCCAAACTTCTTGCCATGCCACGTTCAGTTCCAAATTCAGTGCCAAATTACCTATGTAAAGGTCGTCCATGCCCTGCTCTTATTTAGAGGATTTTTTTGAAAAATACCTGTATCCTCTTGAACATGGTAAATTTTACTCACCAGCTCCTAGTTGATCATACAGTTTAATAACAGACCTGCCGCATTTTCCCCAGTTCTGACTGCATCGTTGAGCCATTCATTTCTGTCGAAATTGTAACAAGATACTTGCCTTAGGTCCTTAGACGACATGTATTATGTTGTATAGAACTGACCCCTCAAACTGCAAAGCCAAAATCATTAATAACTCAGAAGCACCAAAAAAAGAATTTTTTGTAAGTTAATTCAAACAAGCTAAAAAGGAAGCCTTAACCCCTTCGCGCCGGGAAGTGGCTATGGCCGCCGTAAAAATTGAGATCCTCTGGCCGCTTTTCAGCTATTATTCTAACACGATGAAAGAAGGCAGACCCTGGCTCTTGTATATATTGTAATTGGTCTTTGTGCGTAGCCTAGAAATGAAAAGACCGAATTTGCATCATAATCACCAGCTTCACAATAGTCCCCACTTTGAAAAGAGGCAACTGGAAGGGTGAGTAGAGCCGCATGCCATCAAACAATCAGCCTTTTCACCATGTAACTCAAAGCGTGCAGAGCACGCAGGGCCACAAAACGAGAATTTGCGGTTTGGCAGGTGGCCTTCATGGTCAAGCGACGCTGGAATTCCGAGAGTCGGCATTTGGAAGGAAATCCCCGTCAAGGGGTTAAAGCAGCTTGAAACCTCAAGCAGGGAAATAGGAATCAACACATGTGTATGTGCTACAATGACATTCTGGGCCCATACCTTTAACAGCAAGATCTTTTGTTGTTGACCAATGTGTTGTAATTTCAATCAGTTTTAGCAGGAGCTGGACGCCATTGATAAACAACATTGACAAGATTCAATTCTTCACTTGGTGAGGACAGCAAAAAGTGGGCTTTGCCACAAAGTTCAGGTCACTCCCTCCCATTCACTGTTGGACAAATATTGACTATCAATAGTAGGGTGGGTGTAATATCTGTGCAGATAATAGGAAATCAGACATTCACTCACTCACAGGCTGCTTCTTTGGTTTTAATCTGTTACAGGATGAGAAGTATTACTTCCGTGCACTTGGAGGTGATCCCAGAAAGGTGACTTCTATCTTCACTTTCTGTTCAAGTCGGGAATGAGAAAGTTATCTCTTATTGGCTCTTGCGTCCTTTACTCCTTCCCTCCCTCCCCACTAAAAGAAAAAAATCACAAAATGTTTACTCCAGCGCCCCGACAACCACACATTGTGACAGTCTCTTTTTTGTTAGCGTCCACTGTATCCCAGTTAATATTTCACATTCTTTGCTTTGATTACTTTGTCTTGTTGCTGAAAATATCAACTCACAGTCCTTTCACTGGCTTTAGCTTTCAGTACTGAAGCACAGTGAGAGTTTGAGAATGAAAGAGGCAACCTACCTGAGACTGAAGTCAAGAGCATTATTGTGTCAGTACCAGTCCTGTTGCTAAAAAATTATTGAAGGTGTTAAACTGAAGATACTACACCATGTATGCCGTAGATAATACGAGAGAATACGGCAATGAAGCATGACCTTTCCTCACAGGAATCGTTTCATTCAGCACTGATGAAAAAGTGAATAATGTCAGCATGCCGGAAACTTATTCGTAATAAATCAGATGTTGCTTGCTTCAGAAGCATTTTATATTTTCATTCACTCTGCCTGAAGGAACCTGCAGATCTAACCAAGCAGTTTCCAACCCTGGCGGCTGATGTGGCCATTCCTCGGTACTTCAAGGAAGGCGCGTTCTTCTCCAGCGTCCTACGGCTAGGATCTGCTGGAGTGCAACTCTGGACACACTATGATGTAGGCACATAATCCACAAGTTGGCACAAAATGGCATCATTACATGCCACAATCAAAGTGAATTTAGGAATAAATTTGACAATAATTCATGATGTGCATGCACCCATTGGTATGAAAAGAGAATGAGATCGGTTTCTTTTTCCTCCAGATCATGGACAACCTCTTGATACAGATTAGTGGTCATAAGCGGGTGGTTCTCTTCAGACCTTCAGATGCAACTCATTTGTATCTCACAGGTACATCCACCAATTTTTTTTATCTCTGTTGCATTTTAGATATAGCCTATAGGCGTGCTTGTCAGGTCTTATTGCAACTAGCTACCCCGTTGGGATGGGGTAGTTTGAGATGTTAAATGAATGTTTTTTTCTGGAAATCTTTGTAAAATGTTACACCATGATATCCAAGAACAGCATTGATCAGTACGTGTTTGAATGTTTTCTTAGTGGATCAAAAAATTGTGTTCCAGAATACCAGAAGTAAGAGGCCAGTAGGTCAATAAAAACTTTCTGTTGCTTGATCTTATTTTGTTAACAGGCTTTATTGGTTGTGTCACACTTGTATAGGTGATAAATCAGCTGTCTTAGACATTGACAATCCTGACCTGGTCAGGTACCCTGCCTTCAGGCATGCAAGGCCTATTGAGTGCCATCTACAACCTGGTGATGTGCTGTTTATTCCAGGTAAGTGGGAAAGGTGCCAGGCAGAGTTGTCAGACAATTGTAAAAGTCAACCGGGTAGGGTCCTAAAACTGGGCCTTACTGAAAAAGCCCAAGATTTCTACTGATCAGTTCCCAACTGTTGTTGCTGTTTTTAAGTATTTGTAAGTGTTTTTATTTGCAACCACACTGTGGCTATTTCGGTCCCTTAAGTGGATGTTTAGGACTGTAGCTGTGGTTTGGCAAGTCTGAAGATATAGAAGCTTATCTTGCGTTACTTTTTATTGACTATAATGTTGCCAGTGCATGTTTTAGAAAATTAGAAGCTATCAAGATTGTGTTAGAACATTTCCAAAACAACTGGAAGCATACCAAATATTCCTTTTCAAGCTAAAACAGACAAAAAAAGTTACCAAGCATTTTCAAGTAAGATATTGTGGCTTTGCATATTTTTCTGCATTCCTTCTCCATCCCAGCTTTGTGGTTTCACAATGTGCAGTCGTTAGACTTCAGTGTTGCCGTAAATGTCTTCTTCCGACATTTGGATGCCAGTTGCTATGACAACAAAGATCCCTATGGCAACAAAGATCCACAGGCGGCAGCGAGAGCCCTTCAGATCCTAAACCGAGCAGTGAAGTGCCTGGAAGAGTTGCCGGAGGAGTACAGGGACTTCTACGGTCGGAGGATGATCAATGAAATTGAGGCCAAGACTTTCCTGAATTCCTGACATCAATCAAGGCCGAAACCGAGCACCTGTGTATTTTTAAATGTCATCAGTAACACACTTTTGTTCCTCCTAAGTTCTGATGGAGTAAGTGTGCCACCTTTTCTGTCACCACAGCTATGTGATTTCAGAAACTTATAGATTCGACTAGAACTGATTTGCATTCTTGAGTAGGATGAACAGTGGAACGTAAAGTTTGCAACCCTGGACAAGAATGCTTACCATTGCTTGCATCTGCCAACCCTGATGTGTCATTGGAATCTGTAATGGTTGTGCTGGGGATATTTTTGTCCAAACCGATCAGTTAAAGTCTTTATCATTGCATTTTTATTAGGATTGAGTGAAACGAGGTAAATGAGCACAGGAGTCATGGGTAATACTACTCTGTGAAGTACTCCCACCATCTTGTAAGGAAAGTGGCACTCACCCATATACCCAGAGGTACCATGGCCAAGGGCAGAGGGACATAGGACTCCAACATCATGATGTCTCAGCTTGAAAGGATGGATATTCAAGCACCAGTGTACAATAGTGCTCACAGAGAAAGAAATCCATATAGTCACATTGCGTTTCTGCCCTCAGATAGAACCACCTTGAGTATAGTACTCGAGTGCTTACTAACAAACCGGGCACGTCTTAAACCATTCCGTGGCCAAATTTCATACAGTATCATGTTTATATAACCTTAGCTTAGTCAGTCAAGAGAACATTTGATAAATGTGGAAAGGGTGTGGGCTTCAGGTACAGGTGTCCTTTTCATCCGTGACCAAGAGAAAGGCTGTATGGATTGAGTGATTTGGCTATGCAATACTGACTGCATCTGGAAATAACACGGGTGCCCCAGGAAGCCACAAGCTGAGGCTTGTGACTTCAGTCACTTTCCATACGTACATGTAGGTGCAAGGGTGTCTCCTAGCCGCAGCCATTTGCTTTGAATAGAGAATCTCAGAATAGCAATGCAGTGCCTGGAAATAGTCTACACAGTGCTGCTTGTACATTTATAGTAGGCAAACTTAGGACCAGTATACATGTACATGTACACCATCAAGTGGATGGAGTGAAAATATCAGTCAGTAGTGAAGTGGCCCCTTGGTGTAACACTGGTGTGTTCAGGGAAGCTAATCGAACGCACCCTATATAATAATGCACCCGCAAGAGACCAGCTGGACCGTACACCCTGTGTAATGCTACACGGAGACGGTCTGCCCGCACCTAGCATATAGCAGCATACACAACGCCCTATCCAGTTTGTGAGTGACTTCGTCCCAAAGGCGGACGCGCCACGATTCCCAAGCGCAGAAGTTGCGCGTTAACTTCCGGTTCCATGGTTCTGCATAAACGGCGATCAATGCATGTAACCCCATGTGCAGTGCACGTGTGCAGTGGGCGTGGTTTAAACTGAAGTGAAGTCACACTTACGTACCGGATACAGCTTCGCTGAACTAGCAGAATCCCTAACAAAGAGCAAGCTCCGCCCACTTACGCGCTTGTTTGATCACGCGCAAACCAAAGAGCTTTCTACCTACACACAGCGCTATGCTCCACCCATCCTGTTTACGTCACAGGACATGCACACACTACTACACTTGTGTAGTCCTCATTACTATACACAACAAAAGTTACAAAAGTTCCTACTCTTTCCGCTAGAATAATAATTATTTATTGTAATTGATTTGATAAAGAAAGTGCGCAGAACTGCGTAGAATCCCAGGTGGGTCTTTCTTCTTTTTTCCCCCTTATTTTCATATTGCTTTCGGCATAAGTCTGCCAAAACCTAACCTTCTATTCCTGGGCAAAGCAGCACTCAGGGGATACAGATATTACTGTGGTTTAAGGCTAGGCCATTTGAAAGTAGTTTGACTACACCACTTTCTGGCATGCCCAATATGTCCATATCCAGAGTGCAGCGAATGCTTGCTACTTCGTAAGATTTTTAGTTTTATTTGAATCATTTTTATTTACACAAAAAGGTATTTTATGAGATCTCATCATGCCTAAATGATACTTTTCAATTTTCCTCTAGGAGTTCCATTAGGATTTTGTCAAGTAATTCCCTAGAAATACCCAAAATACCCGAATTAGATCTATCTTGACCTCAATAAAGCAAGCAGGGAAGACCCTCTTTGAACTCAAGAACGAAAATATAAATTTTTCAGCAAATGAACTCTAAAACTTCTGGGTCAGATTGACCAAGAATTGGGTCCCATTTGGCGTGACCCTTTTCTGAGTTCAAAATATGATACCCTTTGGGTCATATTTGACCCTTTTGGGGTCATAATTTGACCCGGAAAAGGGTCATGCCGAATGGGACCCAATTCTAGGTCAGTCTGACCGGGGAGTTTTTGGTTTGTAGGTCTTGCATAAGTAGCAAAATCAAATCAGCTCAAGCATCCATACACAAGCACGTTAAACACAATGCAGCGTTTGGTTGTTCCCAAATTAAACCAAACCAAATATCAAACTAAGCAGAAGTAAACAAATAATAAAAGACAACTTTACGGCATAAACGAACTTCTGCAAGTGCAAGCAAATTATTCCAAACAAAAAGACAGCTTTGCATGATCTCAACAGAATGCCAAAAAAACCAGTTCGTTAAGCAAGCACTTTAGTTTATGTTCAAGCCTCAAATTCAAATAAGGAAAGTAAAATGGGCCACAAAATAAGAAAAGTAAATCTTAAAAGCAAATTATACTCTGAGTTAGCTGTAATGGGCAAAGAGTACTAACTTCCCGTGGAGAGGGTGACGATGATCTTGAAATGGGCCCATGGCAGCAGCGGATCGTCACCACTCGGTGTCCCTGCTGACACTTCTGGTGCGGTCTCATAAGGTGAGGTGTTGCGTTACCACTCCGGGGTAAAATGGTTATCTAGTAAATTTAAAAGTAACACGGAAAACTACAAATCTCTATTCCATTGGGCATATACCATGGAAGGTTTCCTGACAAACAGCACAAACATTTACATATTATCACATAAGGTTTCAAAATAATTGCTAGAGTCAAAAAGTGTTGCTTTAAGACATTACAATATGAATTAAATAAAGTAATTCAGGGAAATCGTGGAGTCGGACAATCGACCAACTGCTCGTGAGTGTCTGGTCAGACTAGGAAAGCGTCGTAAAACAAAGGGGTTCGGTACAAGTCTACCCTGAATTAACCCCTAATGCGGTGGCTCGCGGCCTCGACAACTTGCGTAGTTGGCCGGCCTTTTCAAGTGCCTGCAGTGGCTGCATCCACTCGCCTGGTGGCTAGGGTGACGGCGACTCAGAGACCTCTGTCACACTGACCATGGAGGTAGAATCAATGCACTGACATACGATGACTCTCAACACTCAAATGTTCTCTCTCACTCTATGTTGTTGTTGTTTTGCTTTAATGGCACCTTCAGCAACTTAGGCCAATAACTGCACGTTTATTCAAACACTCTATCAATCAGCATCACATTACGGAGTTTAGGAAGAAGATCCAAGTTTTAGAGGCAGGAGGAAACTAGAGTGCCCGGAGAAAACCTGCGAGAGCGAGTATGGACTGGAAACCAAATGCACTTGGGCCTCATTGGTGCAAAGCGAGGAAAGAACCGCTACGCTAACCCGCGCCCCTCTCACTCTACACTCCACACAATCAATTTATACCAACCCCGAAAAGTATCTACACCTGAGCATTACTACCTTCCATTACAACTACAAGAATGAACCAACAAACGATAACCGCGAAGGGAACAAGTGAATCACCATAACCATTGTATACAAAAGACATCTTATTGTGAATTCGACAAATCAGGGCTAGCTAAAAGGAACGGCGTGCATGGAAGCTATTACGTAACAAGTTCGATGGTGTCCGCGCGAGGTAAAATAATGAAACACGAAACTTTGTCAAAAAAAATACAGGCATAAAAAAGAATTTGACAGATTTGAATGTTCTCCACATCCAGTTCTTTGTCTTTTTGGTTGGATGATCGTCGATCGGACAAGGTCATCCTTTATTCACCCAACCCCGTTCCAACTATTCCACTCGTTCCACTCTTAACTTTAATTGGAACACATTCCGGGAAAAAATATTGAAATTCTCATGGTGGCGGCCGTACTCTACTCCACCAAACTTAAAACGTAGAGACGACATGTATGGTTAGGCCCCTCCCCTGTCATACACCTCCCGGCGCGGCCTGCGCCGCGCCTGCCTGCGCTTGCCTCTGTATCTGCGCTGGTATGTGTTAGGCGCTCTCGGTCGATCTGCACCATCTCGCGAACGCATTGCGCTATCAGTAGATATTGCATGAATTCTCCAACTCTACTTCCCCCTTTGGATACAATCTTCAATAAACGTAAGTAGAAACAAAGGGCATTTAGCTGATGTCAAAATTATTGCCAAATATTGAGCAACAAGATCGATAGACCACTTGAAGATCGCGCGATCGTGGACATCAACCATTAGTGCCCAACGCCTGGTTGCGCATGACATAGGACGCCTCCAACGATGGAACCAAGTTAGTTGTTTTAAAATTTGTCTATTGATTAGCGTTGAGTTTGTAACAAAAGAACCGGCGGCCAAAAGGGTCAAAATTAATTTTACAAAAAATAAAGTATATTATACGGTAGAACCAAATTGGTTTCAGAATTTATTTCTAATGATTTCCGTGAATTTCGTTGTTAAAGGTTGAAGTAAACTGTTGGCGACCTTTGCTTTCGACCATCTGTTTTGTATCATAAATTTCGTATTTTGATTTACTGTTGTCATTTTGGGAACTTTTGGAGGCATATTGTTTTCAAATGTTGGATGTTTATTCTGAAATAATTTCTTTTATAAATTTTTGTGTGTGTTTGTTTTGTGTTTTACTATTTACATTTTAATAAGAAAATGTTCGCCCATAATTGTTTATTTTTGGTGAAACTAATTTTAGTGACATATTACTTTTTAATTTGTTGTGTAAATGGTTTGTTGGTGTTTGTTTTTGTTTTATTGTTAAATTTTTAACATGTTTGTTTTTGTGTTATTATTAAATTTGTAATAAGAAAATGCTGTTTGCTCGCAATTGTTAATTTTTGTTAAAATGATGTTTGGCCTTTTTGGCCGCCCATAGGTGGTGGCGCTTTTAGTTGTTGCCGGATAATTAGTGTGACAGCCAAAGATATAAGCTGCGCCACACTGTCAATAGAGCTAGAGCTCGGGCCGGCCGAGCTTAGTGGATTGCTGAACTCTGCGTGGATAGCACGTCTGATCATTAACTTTAGGCACCAATCCACCCGAACCACCGTGCATCAGAGTTGCAGCCGACCGACAACTGAACTGAAAAGAGTGTGTTGACGTGGATCTGTTGACCAGACATGTTGCGAGTAGCTGCTAATCGCCTGCTGTCCACGGTGGGGCGTAGCGGTCATTTGGCCCGATGCTCNTCTGTCCAGCGCAGCCCTTCCACAGCCGCAAACCAGCCCAGACATCCACTTCAACAAGGTAAGTGCGCGTACATGTACTGCACATGTATGATGAACACAATGTAGCAGCTAGACCGTGTGCTTTACCGGTCAAATTGGGTTCACCTTAGGCTGTGGAAAGAGTTCCACACATCACTTGACACCCATTGCATAACCCTTAGGCTGTGAGCATGATGAGGCCGTCCTGGAAAAGTGGCTTTTAAGTACATCACTACATGCTTAGCAACATTTTCTCCGCTAAAATTGACTTTTTAGAACATGTTATCAGTAAAGTTATCACTTTCTGATGCCAAATATTACTGCAAGGGAAAATCAGTAATGTCCATGTAGGCTATGATTGTCGTGGGACCCCCTAAATCTAGGCAATCCTATTTCTACACACTTACCTTTCTGTGAATGTTTTGTGGATGCGTGCAGTATTAAACAACCAGTGGTCACTTGTCATTTGTCCAAGTTCAGAAGTTTTACAAAAGACCCCAAAATGTTGAAAATTAATCCTGTAATGTTAGTTTATGTGTGAAAGAAATAAACGACCCTTTTTACGGCAGATTTAAATAAATACTAGAGATTGTGTCGTGAGTCCCCACCAAAAATTCAGAAATCTTTGTGTCAGGGTACATGTAACAGTTCATCCTTATTGTCTAGTATACAGTACATGTACTGTACTTTTGACGTGTCACGTGATGTCATAATAAAATTAGTTGACTCATTGAAGCACTTCAGGGGTGCAAGTAGGACCCTTCATTTATATTTTAAGTTTCAAAATGTTAAATTTTTGTTTACTTTGTCAAGTGAGTGAATATGAATAAAAAGTAGTGGCGGATCCATTTCTAGTGTTCATTTCTCATTCTTTCCCCCAGAAGAGAGACCTAGATTACCATGATTACTTGGGTTGACACTGGGTTGCCCATATTCATGAATAAAGGTAAGGCCATGAGAATGAATATCCTGGATTTCCATCCACCCCCCCCACATACATGAACCGCTGAAACAGCTGCCAAAAATTATTTTGGAAAAAGTTATTATTTCAGAAAAACCGTTGTTTTTCTTGTCGGGAATGGTTTAAAAGTGGCTGAAAAGTAAATCAGGAGTTGGTAGTGCTCATAAACAAATGGCATGATGCAAGACAGACTGAGAGCTAGTCTACTTTCGAGGTTGGTTCCTTGCATGGACACGTACATGTACATGTTATCAATGTGCGGTATGTACAAGTACACAAACTATAATGAAAAAACGCAAACTATAATGAATAAAGCCTCATGGGTTTTCCAAATTGTCCAGATGGAAATCCGGGATGTTCATTCTCATGGCCTAATCAGTGGTGGGATGGGATATGCACCAACCTGATTAACATGGAAAGGGCACAGACAGAAACCCAAGGGTGTGGGCGGGGTGTGGATGGGGATGAGGGTGTTCAACTTGTGATGGTGGTTGCAGAGTATACAAGTAACAAAGAGCATGGCAGTAAGTTTTGGAATGGAATTAGGTCTGCCAGCCTGAGGAAGGTGTTTTTGGAGAACATTGAAACTATTTGTCTTCTCTTACACATTTATTTGTTCTAAATTATGATTACAGATTTATTTTTGGAGGGGGATTTTGTGCATGGTTAATAGGGAGTCATGGGGTGTACAGAAGAGGGGCAGAACTCTCAAGGATATAGGGTACCATATTTAGTGTTGGGCTGGTGAAGAAGTAAATTAAAGGACACATGAGGGGACTTCACTTGTAATTTATTATGCAAGGATGTTTAATTGTCACAGACCGAGGAATCTCATGTTATAAAAAGTAAAAAATTACCGTTCTTTGTTAAAATTCATTTCCCCATTACTGATTTAAGAAAGTTAATCGAATGGACTGGAAATGACTGGAAGACTTGAAATTTGAAGCGGTGTAAATTGCTTTAAAAATTCGAAGAATTGGTGAGTACAATGCTGTTGCCAAACACCAGGACTTGCCCTTTCAATAAATCTTGTGTAGCTCGTCTGGACCGCTGTAGATTTCAATGGTCGCCAGCTGCGTAGATTTAGACAGGAATTTTTATACACTCATGTGGTCAAACCCACTAAAAGCTGGGTACAAAAAGAAGTAACTTTGTGTGAATTGCTTCAACAACAGACTGTGAGTTGTAACAATAAAATCACCTCTAAAGTATTTCAACCATATTGTAGTTTTCTGGAAATCCGAATTCAAAGCCTTAGGTGCACAGAAAAAGGGGGATCGAAGATACTAAAGCCTACAGGCCTATGGAACTGTGTGCCTTAACACTACAAATATAACCTGACCATCCCCCTGATAAGAGAGTGGCGTGACTCTGGTCATAGACCATCAAAGTGGATGGGATGTATATGTATAACTAGTATTACATGTAGGCTGTTGTTTGACTTTGACTTCAACTCGAACTTGAAGTGAGTGCCCGGGGCAGTGGTGTGATGGTTTGGGAAGGGCTAGTTTAGGAGAGAAGAATAGCTTTTTACAAATTACTGGGACTACAGTCATGATAGTGTAAATATAAAGGTTGAAAAAAGTGATTATGGTGATGGTAGATTGAAATATTCTGAGTTCCTTGAATTGCACTGCCTTTGGGCTTCTACACAAGTATTCATATCATGATTAATTCATACATGGACACACTGCCACGTGCAATCTGCAAGCAGTAGTATGACCAAAAAAGTTCAGTTTTAATGGGGAAGATGTTGATGCATTCGTGTAGAAACACCGAGAATTTTTCAGACCACGAGACTGCAGTCTCAAAGGGTTTGTGCACAGCAGGGTCTGTACATGTATATGGAACATTCTCCATCCTATAGCCATGGTAGCGGATGTTCAGTTGAAGAATAGTGAACATTAGAAAAATGTTTTCATACAAATGTATCGGTACTGGTAGCATAGCCTATAACCTGTTGCAGTCATTCCAGTGTTTTGCCTCAGAAATATGTACCACAGTTTTGATTCCTGCCGTAACATTGCTTGGAGAGTAAAATTTTCTTGAGAGTCAGTAGGGCAGAAAAGCGGGATACATTGTTCTTGTATCATTGCAGTCATTCTCCACATTTGAGTTTTAATTCATGTACATGTATTATGCTCATTTTCTCTGCTCATTTACTTAAGGTCAGAGTAGTAGAAAATTGAAGTACTGTACATATATACACAGAAAGAGCTAGGGGCCTTGTGATTGATAACAAATAACCTTTGGTCACTGTACATTATATGTACTGTACGTTTCTTGGTTATAGAATATGGTACATGTATCTCATATGGCGATGAGCCATTTTGTTGTGTTAAAAACCATTTCTCTGCCCCATTTTGAATATTTTTGGGGTGACCATACTCTTGTACTTATTAAGTTCCTTTACTGATTTAATTTTTATCTAGTTTTATTTTACACATATTTTGATAATTTAATGAAGGTAAAATAGCCATTCTCTGTTCACTCTGCTGTTATCAGGATGTACATGTAGCTTTTATTGCAAAATTTATTTTAGTTTTGATATATTTGCCTCATTTGTTATAGATATACAGGTATGTGTCAGAGTTTAAATTTTTATGTTGTATATTGAAATAAAAGGATTATTGGAAGACCAGTATGAATTTTGATTATGCATTTGTATAAATTTTATAACTACAGACGCATTGTAAAAGTTTGTCAACTTTACTGCTGGAAGATGTACCGTGTATTTTAAAACCCCTCCTATGCAAAGATGTATTCTTCACCCAGTCATCCTACATGTACATCAGTCCAAATCAGTCAAGTGACATATGATATGTCTACATGTATGGACTGCACAGGGAGTAGAAGGAATGTTTTACTGTTTCTTGACAGTTACAGCAAAAGGATGGTTAAATTTACTAATTAATTAATACTGGTATTTTGCAGATGGCAAACTTTTGGGAGAAAATTCTGGACAGATGTACCGGTTTGAAAGTATTCCATCTTCTTTGGTTTAATGTGTGTTCGATTATTCAAGGTTCTTAACCGTTAGCTTTGGAAACTACAGCGCACAAGTGGATTGAATGTACCTGCAAAGGCTGCAAGGTTGCTAACGGTACCAGGACCATAGTACAGCCACCAGTGTCTGGTGTTTCGTGTGGATTTGATGGATTGTCTGCACAGTAGAAGCAGGCTTTCAGATGTTGTTCACCAAATGATTAAGATTTCAAATGGGATTTAATTGTTTCATTTACATGTGAATGGATTTTTGCTATCATTTATGCCCCTCCTTTTGTTTTACTACCTTATGTCGTTTAATATTTTCATCATTTAATTTGTCAAAATAAACAAATGATGCCAGCACTGGGCCAGTAGTTGCCCTACATGTACATGTAGGTTGGCAGGGCTAGCCAGTTGGCCAAACCATGCCAGATTTAGCCATCCCTTGGCAATATATACATACATGTACATATGACTGTTGGGCCAATCATTGGGTGTTGCACGCATGGCTGGGTAAGCTTAAATTCTGGACAATTAAAAAGCTGAAAATTGGGACCCTGAGAGGGTGTGTGTTTGTGCACATGGTACATGTACCAGTAGCAGTACGTCATCATTTAACTCACAAAAGGAAACTTAAGTTTACGGTTGATGAAACTGCAAACAAAAAAAGACTTAAAATTGTTGCCGTACATGTACAGTGTACCGTACATGAATTTGGAATCTTCCCTTTTCTATTTTTTTAATGTACACCCACCCGTGTGTTCCAATACTGTCAGGGTTGATGTTCATGCCTGTAACTCTAGGGTACAAAATGATGGACACAGTGCTTGTTAGCCTTGACCTGACAAGTGGAATAATTTGGCTGAATAATCACAATACCACACAACAAGCTATTAATTGATTGTTCATCTATAGAGAAGCAGTGGAACGATGCGTAATGTACTGGTATCGTGTTGTATTCATGCATGAGTACCAGTCAGGCAACCACTCCAACAGGTTGACCCTTCATGGGGGAGAGAACATTAATTAATTCAAATAAAGAGTTTTCAGCATGACATATTGTACCATACACAGTAAGAAACTTGCTTTCGGTGCAAGTTCTCTCTTCGTGTTTTGAAAGTTTCTGGGTTTGGCATAAATTAGTGGCTTCCTTTACAGTTTGTCCTGTTTTTCTATACCTTTCATACGCTTTTGAGTTGGACAGCTGCATGCATCGGTACATGTACCGGTACATGCAGTTTTCGATCAGAACCTGTTGTCCAAGTACACCTGCACTGTACAGGTACCGGCCTGTTGTCCAAGTACACCTGCACTGTACAGGTACCGGCCTGTTGTCCAAGTACACCTGTACTGTACAGGTACCCGTGCATGTCCCTTGTGGTTGCTTACCACAAAAAGGATGTTAATTGTAAAGTGAAGATAGATACATACATGTACGCGTATATGCCGGGGATAGGGTTCATGTACAGGTAGATTATAATTTTTCTTCTCATCCCTTGGCTTGTCATCGTTGGTTTAGCCAGACAAAAAATCAGACCGAGTGTACATGTAGTGTACACATAGAAAGTTGCATACATGTCACATGTAGCTGCAACATTCTGATTTCAGTGACAAAGGTTTCGATGACTGCACTGTAGAATTATGTAGCGCGGACCCGAAGGGAAGTTTGAACAGTTTGAACAGATGTGCATGTAATGGTAGGAAGTTTGTTCTGTTTCATTTTGAAGTGTTACGTGGCAACCATTGTAACAACTAAACACCTCTGATAATTTGGTCTGCATAAATTAATGGCAGATGGCATAAATTAAACCACTTTCTGTTGGTTATCTTACTTGTAACAGCTCTTCATCAATAATGAGTGGTGTGATGCCGTCAGTGGCAAAACCTTCCCAACTATCAACCCTGCAACAGAGGAGAAGATCTGTGATGTTGCTGAGGCTGATAAGGTACGTACATGTAATCAAATTCATAGAGAACACGTTGCCTACCCAGTGAGTGTGCGAGTACATGTACATGTACGATAAACATGTACTGTACATACAGGTATGCCTTAAGTTTGGAACCCTGATCAATTTAAAGCGGGTGTTTTGTGTGAGGTTACAAGTTCTCTTTTCCTTCGTTTAATTCATTTGGAAGCTTAACCAGTGGCAATCAGTTGATTTTATACACTACATGGAATTCATACACGTGTACACGTGTGTACATTGTACATGTAAGGAAATTTGAAACACACGTATAAATTTAGTTATTTTGTAAACTTGTCTTTTGAGGGTATGCACATGTATATTGTACCGGTGGTTATCTTTGAGAGGCTTATCCAAAATGTTCCAGGGGGCATTATAATCAGTTGATGTCATATCTGTACCGGTATATTGAGAATGACAAGTGTTTCAAGGTTTGGGATTTATCCTGCTCAAAGCAAAATTCAGATTCACAAAATGTGCAGGTACATGTACATTGTAGTGTTACATGTACAGGAAGCGTACCCGTACATCTCAAAAGTCAAGAGATGTAAAAGCAAGTTTAATGAAAGACAACTATTTTTGATGTAGACAAGTTATTGTTAAATTGGATCCAAGTTCATAAAGACACAGTAACTGTCACAGTGAATTTTCTGTACATTATGATTTTCACGATAACATGTACATATACATGTACCTGACCATGGAAGTATTATAGTCCTGCCAGGGCCAACTTAAAAAGCTAAAAAGAGGTACCAAGAGGGTATTTCTTGGGAAGCTCAGGACCAAAAGAAGTGGATGTCACTCTCTGAATTGGTTCTCCCTGATCACAGATGCATACATGTACATGTATATCAGTGACTTCTAGTCAATCTGTTTCGACATGTAAATTCCTGCACATTATTTACAGTGTATGACAATTTGGCATGCTTCCAATATGCAGAACACTGATTTTACACCTTGCTTGGAAATGGTCAGATATTGCGTTGCTGGCAGATGCCGTTTTCTGTTTCCTTGTTTGCTTTCTGTTCTCTAGTAGATAAACCTGAAGTTTTATTGTGCATCATACACTTAGGTACATGTACATGTATATTTTTCCTTTGCCTGTTTTGATTTAAGACCAATTAACATACATGTACGTAAATCTAACCTTTCCAAGAGCATACAGTACATTGCGCATGTCGTTCCATTCAGTGTAAAAGTTCACATTCCTCTGAAGATGAAGATGTACATGTGTGATGATTTATAGTACATTTAGGTCTGATATTCTGGGGACTCTCAATGCCTGCATGGACATGCGGACATTTTCAACTGAAAGACTACAGTACATGTACATGATACATGTACATTAGCGGTACATGTGTGTGGTAGATATCATGTAGTGTCAAGTTAATGAAACTATTAAAATGCCTCTATACATGTTGTAAAAGTTTGCATAATTGCCATAAATTAAAGTACCTACAAGTTGGTGTGCATGTAAAATATGGGAAAAAGGCTTTTGACCAATTGATATAAACTTACATGTATGTATGTGCATGTACAGAAATGTTATTTACGCTGCACAAGGTTTAAACATTTTTTTCAATTGCTATTTGCGTGTAATGTATATGCAATAGAAAGTGTAATGGCTCTCGTGCTAAAAAAACATGTAAAAATGGCAATTAAAAATATTAATTTTTTACATGAAATATATTTTCACAATATCAATTAAAAATAAGAGCTATTATAAAAAAAGCTATAGACACAAACCAAAAAGAATTCAAGTTTTACAATATCACAATTCACCATACAAAATTATACGGATAATAATTCCACAAAATCACAGTTCACCATTTACATGTACCCACATTACAAATGTTCTTTCCTTTAAAATGTGACCCACCATCCCCAAACCAGGCTGGAGTAGGTAACTTCATAACCCTAAAATAGTGGAACTTTCACTCTTCAGATTTTCATGGGAGTTTCAGAGCTACATTTATCACTACCCGTAAGACGTTTTCTGCAAAGAGAATACGGACTTAAGCCTGGTTTGAGGATGGTGGGTCACAAATACCTACATGTATATATAAAGATATCAAAATAAAAACACAAAATGTGAAGACAAATAATAATATGTGTCAATAAATAAAGTGCAGAATCATGACATACAACTGACCACTTGAAATCACTCCATCCCTTTCAGTGCCTTTACTGCGCTTGGCTAGAAACTCCTCAACCTTTCTGTTTCACATTTAATAACTCTCTACCGCGTCTCTGACCTCAGTAACTCAAAAACTTGTTTGCTGGATGACAGTTGTCACTTCTAATACTAATGTGTCTTTTTCCTTAATCTCATGGCATATATTTCAGATACTGATGGAAGATCTTTGCCAACAATACAATGGATTCCTGATTTTTGAAAATAGTAGCCTCTTGTTTGATGTATAATCTGCTCATTTGAAGCTCATATATACTGATATATATATGTATATGCAGTCATAAGTATTGCAAAAGTTTAAGACAACCTTGAATTTTATTGGTATTTCTGTCACTGGGCCTGCATTACACCACCTCACTGAATGACTACTTCACATGATTTTACAGTGGTGCATAACATCAGTGTAGTGATATTCCCATTTGAATGAAATTTTTTTGCAAAGGCAGGTCTTGTATGACATTTTGTCTGCAAGGCAGCATGGGTAAAAAAAGGCCAGCCAAAGCAATCACAAATAAGGGAGGGCACACTGAATATTAGACTGCTAACATGTCAAATCAAGGAAATGTAGTCAAAAATGTTCCGCCAAGGTTACACACTAAAAATAAACATACCGGTAAGTTGCTATGATTGATTGGTTTAAGTTTGGTTTTCCTTCAGGTTAATGCATTTTCTATGGGTGGTCCTAAACTTTTGCAAATGACTGTACATACATGTACATTCTACACCCTTACACATACATGTATTGTAGTTGTACTGGTACATGTACATACATGTACACTTTATGTAAATATAAATACAATTATTTACATCTTTTGTTTATTGGGGTCCAGATGTGCAGTCATATGATTTGTGTTTATTTTTTTAGGCTGACGTTGACAAGGCTGTTGAGGCAGCGTCTGCAGCCTTTGCTCTTGGGTCGCCATGGCGAACATGTAACGCTTCCCACCGCGGCTTTCTCCTGAACAAGCTGGCTGACCTGATTGAGCGAGACAGAGTCTATTTGGCAGTAAGGCCCCAGTTCTGCACTATCCTCATAGGGGCTGGCAAATGTAATGACGTCAGGCTTTGTTTACGTGTGCACTTTCCTCTATGGCACTGAGGTGGGACAAGGTCCATAATATACCTGTACATGTATGTAAACAAAGCAGGACAGCATTGTTTTCTGTTAATTACATGTAAATGATTGCACACAGAGTCTGTTGTTGATGATGCCATTGTTGTTGAAATGATTCCATGGCATACATGTACCGGTACATTGCCAGTTCCTTATGAGTGCCCTTTGTGTCAAAGGGTTTTTTCTTTCTTAAATTGTACATGTATCTTCAAGTTATGTTATTTTGCATTTGTTGCTTTCTAAATTTGTAAGGGTACTTATTTTACGGAAGGAAAAAGAAAGCTTAATTACATGTACATGTAACTAGGGTCAGTATTGACAGATACTGCACAATGTGTCCACTTAAGACTTTACCATACACTGTACGTACGCTGTACACACACATAATGCACTCTTATTTTGAGCACTGATATTGCATGATCATTTGAAAATGAAAGCCTTGCTTATTTGCTGTGAGTGAGTTGTCAAATTGCCTAGTTAACCCGCTCAAAACAAAAATCTTAATAAACATAGAAGTAGGATTTGTATTTTTCCCTCTCTCATGAATTTTTTTAGTTATTTGCATTCCTTGTATTTCATTTTTTCCTCAAGTTCATGTAAACCATGAAATTACCCTTGGACCCTTGTTGTTAACTTGTACACGTGCATCCTATCCATACATGCCCCAAACCATGAAACCGCTTCGTACTTGGTCAAAACTAGAGAGAAATCCAATAGCCTACGGTGTCCACATCCAATATGGGAGGGAGACTCCTTATCCTGTCCGTACTACTCATGACAGATGATAAACCCAGCAATTTATCATGGATGAGAGTCTGTGTATAGGGTTCCAAAGGTGGAAGTTTGAAGTGAGAATTTAGCCAGCTGCGTGCCAGTTGTAATTTATGATCACCGAGTGCGTTGTATTTTTATTTCTCCGGCAGAGCTTAGAGACATTCGACAATGGAAAGCCTTACTCTGCTTCATTCACTGCTGACTTGGACTTCACCATCAAGTGCTACCGGTTAGTTTATCGTTTTTAAGAAAAACGATGCATTCATTGTAAAATGTACATATACAGTATATATCCTAGAAACTGTGTCCTGGTGCAAAGGAAAGGATGGATCCAAGTGAGAACTTGTTTTGTACATGTAGTTGATGCATGCCACGCACAAGTTGCACAGGATTTATGTAGGGGAACACTCAAACATCTTCTCAACTTACGCTAAATTTTTGGAGAGAGAAAAAAACAGACTTTTCCCAACAATGGGATACTGTTACCTGTCTGGGACTAACTGATGTCATGAGCCACACTCATGACAGGTGGTAACCAGTTCTTCCTAAACAAATCAGTCCCATGAAGGCCATCTGTTACTGGGTCATGCACTTTTCTTTGTTAAGGCATACATGCAGCCTACTAGTACTTAGTGACTTTTACCATGAGCTATGTACATGTATGTGCTACATGTACATGTACAGTACTTTTATTGGTCAACATACACTGTACTGTCCTCCCATCCATTCTTGGGGAAAAGCTGGGAACATACATCACCGAGTTTCGTGCCAGGCCCTGCTGGGCATACATGTACCGGTATATACTGTACATGTATGCTTTAGTATTTAGCCTAGCTGCCATGCACTTGTACATGTATATTACGTCTTTATACCCAACGAACAGGAAACATTCCCTCCATTGTGATTTCCACTCGTCATACCTGGTGTATGCCTAACACAATCTATTGTACCTGCAGGTACTATGCTGGATGGGCTGACAAGATTGAAGGAAAGACAATACCCATTGGTAAGCTTACCGTATACTTCAAAATAGATTCATGATTTTTAGACATGTATTTGTCCACATACGTGTATTCACTGTGTACCAAAATGTACTGATAATGTACAAGTACATGCTGGTTTATACATGTATGTACATGTATGTACCCGGTACATGTACATGTATATTGCATTGATTAGTGAACACGCAGCAATTTGTAAGCCCTACACCATGGTCATTATAGCTGTTCACGCTCCGCAGCTACAAGTTCCGGGCGTGTAGTTTTATGTATCATACATTCGTGCAGACTTGCACGTAGTATTTCACCACCTGCCAATGCATGTAACATACATGTACATCGCCGTACCCTTTGTTGTTGACATGCTGATGAGACATTGCTGGGATCTTTATCTGGACCAGACGTTCGTGGTGCTTAAACTTTTGTTGGAAAACTGCTTTGTAATGTTGGACACTTGAATTTCTTGACAGTGTACTGTAACATTATCAAGTCGGGACAAAACTGCTGCATTAATAAAGATGAGGGTTGCTGAATAGTGAGGTTTGTTTGTCCAGCAGGAAATGTTTGTTATTGAACTTTGGTACTGCTGTTTTACTCTACTTGAATAAATTCTAATAACAATCACATCTGGCGAGATTTTCATTGGTAAATTTGTGCTATTATTTATTTCAGTTGAAGCCTAATGTTGCCAAAAATAAGGCAACATCAAAGTCTGTTTACACTGGCTCACCAGAATATTATATAATTAGTTTTTGTCTGTGGTATTAAACATCAATCTGACACCTGGCACACCTATACCTGTGTGGATAGCATTCAAGAGCAGTTAGTCTTACTGTGAATGACCTGAATGTGATTTCCCCACAAAAAATGGGAAGGTGTTTAGGATGGATGTAATATTGAACCTCAAATTTGTTTTTGCCATGGATTATCCCAAATCGCATCCGAGTCGGAAATCACATCAGGCCCTGTTGTTAACCATTTGCCGCCAGGGACTTCGGTTTTGGGCATTGTGTGTGTATACGCATGGCCGGGGTCTCCGAAATCGGACAAAGGGAACTGGGCCTTGTAACAAAAGACCGTACTCCGAACAAAAGACCAGGCTGCTGAGCATTACCGGCATTTTTTCACTCTCAAAAGTAGAGATAACCCAGCCTTGTTTTTAACAGTATACCACGGTTTGGGGCATTTAGTGAGAGCAGGTCACCACCGGGGACAAAAGTGCTCCACCACCGCAGCGATGAGCCACACAGCACTTGAGCCACACAGCACCGCTGCACGCTAATCTGGCCCCTATTGAAAAGAGGTCAGCAGCGCACTGTGCCAGGTTCATAGACAAAAGGATGTTTCATACATGTAACACCACACAATCTTCGCTCCTTTTACAAGGCTACAGGCCTAGCTGAAATGCTCGGGCATCAATAGATTTTGTCTGTCAGACAAGAGTGGCCACCAGACAGTAATTCGTGTGGGTGTAAACGTCCATTAATTGAAATGATGAATTCTGAAGAATTTTGGAAACTGAAAATCTTGAAACAGTCCCAATTATGTGCACTGCATTTTTCAAACCACCCGGCAGCAAGTGGTTAAAGTCTAACCATGATTTGATTTTAAACTTTCCTGGCTGTGATTTCTGGTGTGAATGTGGTATTGGATAATCCTTACCAAAATCACACCCAGGCGAGCCGCCTTTCTATTTTTATTTGTAAATCACATCCAGGCCATTCACATTGTCTTTATCTGAAGGTTGAGAAGGAACTTACATGTGTGTGAAACCTCTGCAGTTTCATTTCTTTGCCGAGTCCAAATTTTGGTTACGTTTCCTGCGTAGCACTTTTGTTTATCTTCCAGTACTGGTACATATATTTCCACACTGAATGGCCTCTTCAACAGTGACAGTTAATGGGTAATCACTTTCTAAATCTTGATTTCATGAATCTAACTTCCTAGAGGGAGATTTCCTCTGCTACACCCGACGAGAACCTGTTGGTGTCTGTGGACAGATCATTCCAGTGAGTGTATTCCAGTGTTATTGCAGGGCCTACCGTACGCAAAGCAATCAGATTTAAATAATGTCGTTGGTTGGGTTGATTGCATCCAGGAAGTGGAGATGACTATGGTTTTGAGCAGTTTTCAAACAATGAAAAACTTTACATCATGAGAGCTGAAACTTTACAGTGTTTCAGAAGTCTTATGAAGATGCCACATTATGGCCAACATCCCTGGTAAAGTTCAGGGATGTAATTTTTCAGACAAAAGCCTGCTTTCACTTGCTTTAGGCTTCTCATTTGAAATGTGGGTCATATTTCAGGCCATAACCAGGTTCGGCTAGGCTTCTCAGGCCATACTGTCAGGCTGTAGGCAAGAACCTGATTGTCATCCTTGAATGCTACCCCGGTAAAAATTCTTAACTTCCAACAAATTACTAAATCTTCCGGCAGTAGAACATTTCAAAGCACAACAAATGATCATATGAAATGATCCGTACCCACAAAAACCAGCATGTGTGTGACAGCCTCTTTTCTTTGTGCGGTTGCGTTGCCGTCTGTAGTGGAATTTCCCCCTGTTGATGCAAGCTTGGAAGCTGGCTACTGCCCTGGCGGCAGGCAACACATTGGTGATGAAGGTGGCTGAGCAGACTCCCCTAACTGCCCTGTACATTGCCGAATTGACTAAGGAGGTAATTTCACTGTTAATCTTGTACAAGTACCGGACTTGTAGTTTAGTCTGTCACAAGTCCTTTTACAAGTCTCGTCACTATTCCCTTCACAAGACCAGTCATCAGTAAGGGAGTCAACGATGAAAATGCTTTAGACTCAGTGCATTTGAACAGCTTGTTAATTGGCTTAAAACCGTATGACTTGTGGAGGACTAGCAGGGATTTGTAGGGGCTTACGATGGACTCGACTACCAATGCTGACAAGTACATGCATAATGTGTTGTAGGCGGTGTTGAAGACTGAAACTGCCTTGTCAGACTCAAATCACAGTTTGTTTGACTTGAGACTTGGTTTGACTTTTAAAAAATGACTTATGACTTTACTGGAATGAATGTGATCTCTTGACATCACTGGCAATCTTTTTTGAAAATAAACTCTCAGAAAAATGTAGATCATACATGTATCTATGCAAAAAATCCAACTTTCAGTGTGCAAAAGTAACACTTGGCAGCTTTCATTATACTGGTGTTTTTCACATGTACATGTACCCGTATCTATGAATATCAAGGTCTTAGGATTTAAAAATGAGACACAGAAGGCAGACCTTTTTGACACTGTATTACAAGGCATGACAGGCCACATCATTAATACAGGGTGTCAGAGAAAGTTTACATGTATATACGTACACGTATCTTACATGTATATTATGACTCCAGCTTGACTTAAACAATTGATGTTGGGCGTGTGATTTTTCTTGTGCAAAATTGACTTCTGACTTCTTGAAAAGGAAGTACCAGTACACGTACCAATTGTCTCACAAAATACCTTTGACTCACCTTTGATGGTTTCTCTGCACAACAGCTGACGCACTATTTTTGTCATGCCCCAATTATAGCATCAGTCCTGTAGTGTTGCACTTGGGCTTTGTTGAAAGATTTCTCAACTTGGATCTGCTGATTTCCTCGTTTTTCACTTCACACTCATGCCATTGGAAATTGAAAAACACTGTACAAAGTCTTGTATAAGAATGTAATTTCCTCGTTTTTTGGTCAAAGTCCAAGTTGCACTGTCTCAAACATTTCCAAGTATTCGCAGCTCGTACATGTACATGTACCTGGCAGAATTCATCAAAGATATGCAACTTGGCTTAGCCCAACTGCAGCGCTGTAGCTGTGGCAGTCCCTGCTCGAGTTTGGAAATCTGCCATTGTTTTGGTGTAAAATTTTCAGTAGTGAAGACATCTTGAGTACACAGGAGATCATGTACCCAGATTGTTGTTGAGCATCAGTAAGTTGTCCAGTTTTAACCCCTTCCTGCCGAGTGGTATTTTCTTGAGCGGGACGAATTGCCCGGCTATTGTCAAGATTTTCCCTTTTCAAAATTCTTCAAAAATCCATAACTTCATTTGCTAGACGCTAACACCCACACGAATGACTGTCTGGTGGCTACTCTAATCTGATAGGCAACCTCCATTGATGCCCTAGTATTTCAGCCAGGCCTGCTGCCCTGTAGAGAGAGCCCAGAATTGTGAGGTGTTGCATAATTTCCTTTGTTCCCAGTGAATGGCAGTGTCGTCTTTTCAAACGCTCTTGGATTAGCATGCAGCGGTACTGTATCACTCATCGATGGGGAGCTGGAGCACTTTTTTCCGCGGTGCTAATCTGTGGGCGCGCTATGCCCAAAACAGAGATATATACTGTTTCAAAACAGTGATGGATTACCTCTGATAAAAGCAAGCTGAAAAATTATGGCAGTTTCCAGCAGCAGGTCTTATGTTTTGAGTACAGTCTGTTGTTACACAGACCAGCTCTTTTGTCCAATTTTGGACAGCCCAGCTTTGTGTATAAACCCAAAGTATCCAGATCCGGGATCCCCAGCAGCAAGTGGTTAACTACTGGACATGTGTAGTTACTCGTTAATGCATGTGCTCATGAAAAAAAAATACTGCTGATGCTCTTACTGATTTTTCCCAAGGCTGGTTTCCCACCAGGCGTGATCAACATTCTGACAGGGTATGGACCCTCTGCTGGGGCAGCCATCGCTGGTCATATGGACGTGAACAAAGTAGCCTTCACCGGATCAACAGAGGTAAAGTTAAAAGCATGTCAATGCTGGGATTTGCATTTCAGCCATTCGCACAACTTGAATTTCTTGTCTAATATCCACCAAAGTTTGTCTTGGCTAGTGTTTAGTGTGGTTACTTGTTGGTTACCTTATTAGATTAAGTGCTCTGTGTTGAAATGGTAGCATCAAGCCATTAACTGCCTAAAGAGTTGAATGCTGCATGGGTTTGATTGTTGTAAATTGCTAAGACAGATGGTTGTTGACCTGCAGTATAAGTACACTGTCTTAACAGTGTTCCTCTTGTTTCTGTTGGTTGGCAGATTGGCCACTTAATCCAGCAGGCAGCCGGCAAGTCCAACCTGAAGCGAGTGACTCTGGAGTTGGGCGGCAAGAGCCCCAATATCATCATGAGTGACTGTGATCGTGAGTGTTGCCAAAAGATTTCACATGAATGTGCACTTCTAATTTTTATCATGATGAGCACAAACAAGTAGTGTGAGATGAATATGCAGTGAGCAGGGGAGCATCATTGAGGTGATCCATATACGTCCTCAATTATATGTACAAGATGTCATCTTGCGTGTGGGATATGTTAATGGTGGGTGTTGCCCTTCAGTGACGTGCATGTATGATTATAGCATTGTATATTAGCAATATCCGAGGTCTCGTGAAAAAGTTACATGTATATGCTACATGTGACTACATGTATGATGGACTTGAACCTGCGACCTCCCGCTTACTTATGCAGACATCCTGTCATTTGACCACTGAACTTGCAGTGGTCAGTTTACTAGATCCTGATCTAATAGTGGCTGAGTTAAAGAGCTCTTGTATCTTTCTGGCAATATTTTGTCTGAACATAGTTTGTTTTGTCCACTTGTGTGGTAATTGGTACCCAGGTACATGTACCACATACATGTCCATTCCTGTGTGCCATCGTGGTATGAGTACATTCACATGGTCTGGATGTTATAAGCCATTTATTTTCTGCGTTTCAGTTGAAGATGCTGTTGAGCAGAGCCACTTTGGCCTGTTCTTCAACATGGGTCAGTGCTGCACGGCCGGCTCTCGCACCTTCGTGGAAGACAGCATCTACGACAAGTTTGTGGAATGCTCTGTTGAGCGTACCAAGAAGCGGACCGTTGGAGACCCTTGGAACCCCAGCAATGAGCAGGGACCTCAGGCGAGTCATCACAGTTTATTGTTGTGCTTGTGGTGGTGCATTTTACACCTCAACAGTCTTGATGAATTAGATTTTGGTTTGTGACTGGCAGAGTTTACATTTGCACACTTTTGAAATCAGATCCGGTTGTTTATTTGCTCAGAGGTGAAGCGTACCATCACCAGTACAGAAAAGACAGACCAGTGGGAAGGGTTTTGATAGGGCCCGTTCAAGTGCCTGGTATTTGTTTGGTGTTGGCTGCGATAAGCATGCACCACCAATTTCTGTTGGAATGTGCAGTCCGTGCATGTACCCCATGTGTCAAGTTGAAACAGGCTAATGCGTTGTTTGCCACCGGAAGGCTGGTACTTCCAATCAGAGCAGATATACTCCTGTGCATTTCTTTGAAAACAGTAAGACAGCTTGGATGGGGACTGAGAAAATTTAAATAGACTGCTCTGAGTATTTTCCTCTGAAGAGCAAAATAGTGGAAAACTTCCGAAGTCTCACAGATTTCTATAGTTGCACATGTGACCTCCTGTTGACACACAATTTTCTGGGTTTGACTTGCCAGGTTGATGCAGAGCAGTTCTCAAAGATTCTGGGACTGATTGACAGTGGCAAGCAGGAGGGAGCCAAGCTTTTGACAGGTGGACAGCGTCAGGGCGACCGCGGCTACTTCATCCAGCCCACCATCTTTGGGGAAGTGAAGGATGACATGCGCATTGCCAGGGAAGAGGTATGTGGTGTCTCCCTCGACTTGGGACTGTTTCGTCACAATGGTTTTCGTCATAACTATAAAGCGTGTATTGAACAGCGTGTTAGGTTCACTGATCATAGTAGCATGTCGGCTAAAATTCTGACCTGAACTGTACATGTGCGGGTAGGTTCCGCTGCGATAGCTGTATTTTAAACTTAATTCGGCCTTTTAAATTGCAAATGTGGTGAGCAGTGAGCGCAAGTTTTCACACTTACATGTAATCAAATTTCAGGCTAACTTGTCAGAAGCAACCGTACTTACCTGCCCAGCTTCTTAGACATGTTTATGCATCTGAGCATAGAAGTATGCTGGAGGAAGGCATACAGGTGTGTACTTGATGGAGTGGACAAAAAGAACTTGGACTTTCCGTACTTGGACTTATCCATCGAGTTTTCATATCCGTTCATTTCATTCATTTTGGGGAGACAGATTTTTGGACCTGTGCAGCAGCTGTTGCGCTTCAAGAAGTTAGATGAAGTCATCGAGCGTGCCAACCGCACAAACTATGGACTGGCCGCAGCTGTGTTCACCAAGAACATTGATAAGGCCCTTCAAGTGGCACACGGTGTCCGAGCAGGAACATTCTGGTAAGACCACTCAATCAACTCTCCCCATATAGTGTCTGGCACAGATACATGTACTGCTGCTTGTTCAACTCTCTGGCTGTTGTTATAGGGCCTATTGCTATGCAAATATTGACTAGACTACATGTAGTATCAGAGTGTGGGCAATAGTGCTTTTCAGGGCAACTAATGTGGACAGACCTGTAGTGGGCATTCTGTCCGTATTTCTGAGAGCAGGAGTCTTTTCCAAGTTCCCTTAACTGTTCTTCCTTTTGCATCTGACTATCCTGGCCTCAAAATGACTCAAAACGTGTTTTTGAGAAATGAGAATCCTTATCCGGCTTATTCAACACAAGGTTCACACAACTTGCATTATGTGGACCTGTTTTTAATGATTAATTGATTTATATCTGTTCCTCCCACCGCTGCGTTTAGCACCAATTACAGGATAAAGTGACAATAAAGAAATGTTCAGTTTTAGAGATGGGAAGAAAACCCAGAATGAATATTCCAGGGAAAACCCACAGAGTCAGGCAGGGACTGAAAACCCAATCCACATGCTGACCTTGGTGAGACTCGAACCCAGGTCGGAGATGGAAGGCGAGGAATGAGCCACTACACCAACCTGACTCCCCTGATTTGTTTTGAAGTCAACATGCATGCAAAAATGAAAAGGTTGGCATACCCACACGCGTAGAAGGTGTAAAGCAAGGACTTTCCATTGGTTCTGTGTTGCTTGTTTGACACCATTTTCCGATTTAGAACGTTCTCCAAGTGGGGGTCCTGAATGTTCGGAGAATGTTCCCCATATCCTACCCTGAAGGGATTGTATTATAAGTTGGGCTTTTGTCTTGTTTTTTCCTCCCTAAAGGGTCAACTGCTATGACATTTTTGACATTGCTGCTCCGTTTGGAGGCTTCAAGATGTCAGGCGTTGGTCGAGAGAAGGGAGAGGAGGCTCTGAATGCCTACACAGAGACCAAATCGGTGAGTAGCGGTAGCCCTTGTGTGCAAGAAAAAGGCTTGCAAATGACATACCAGCAGTAAGAATTTCAGGGCCTTCTGTTTAAGCCTCCTATGCCAAAGTCACTCTTTGGGTCGGTCAGTTGGTGAGCAGCACAAAGATGCACAGCTGCGTCACATTGTGCACTGCACCAATTATCCCTCACAGGAATGTCAGATTGCGCTGTTGTGCTGTCCAACAATTGTGCATCAATGTTTCATGTGCGTAATTGTGCAGTAAAGCAACTGCAGTGTGGGGGACAGACAAAAGAGCCTGTGTCATGTTATGCTGGCAGCCAACTGACACACTGGAGCTGTGCACGTGTGCGAGCAGTCTGTCTTGAGATCAGAAACAGGAAATGTATCTCACTAACTATGTGAAAGCATTAACACGGTGCATGCCACCCACATGTACATGTACCATTCCAGTGAGAAAGCCTGTGTTTGTGTAAGTCGCTCACTTTTTTAGGAGGTAGGGGAAGGTGAGGAATTTTTTGTCACAGTGCTTATAAACAAATGGAGGGTGACATATCTTAGTTGTTTCCAGTCACTGCATTCCTAGTAGTTTGAACATTGAAGCCTACAAGCAAAACTTACCTGTGTTGACGAAATGCACTGTAAATAGATAGAGAAAACTGACCAGGCTGCTGAACACTCTAAACTCTGTCCTCAATCAGTTAAAATATATATTTAGTTTGATTAGGCCCATCAACTACATGTGTTGTGGTTGTGTCTGACACCTTGTGCAAGGCGCCACTCGTAACTGTTTCAGGCACCAAGTTTTTCTGAACTTACATGTAATACAGAATTTGGAATTAACTTTGTTATGTGCAACCATTGCACACCAGTCTAATCCGGCTGATGTACAAATAAACAAGTCTGTCAGGCCTGTGTTCTGATAATGACACACTCTGTTTACCTGAGCACTTTCCTGTATGGAGCCAGTTGAGCCCCATTATCCACTAAAACCATAGAAAAGCAGACACAAACATAGTGTTGTGTCATTGACTGCTTCCATCCACATTTTCTTTCTTTTTTCTTTCTCTTCTGTAGGTGATTGTGAAAATCCCTCAGAAGAACTCGTAAGTCTTCAAGTAATGCCAGCTTCGAAGAAGGGATCACAAGAGATGGTTGATGATGTCATAATTCAGATGTAAAAACAAATACCTTTGCTGCTGGTTTCATTTTTTGGAATACTTTTCATCATAACCGGTGACTGCTTGAGAAAGCACCCACCAGCCTCAACTGTTTGTCATGACATCTCTTGCAATGAGGTTGCTGCTGTGAAGTTAAGGCTGTGCTGAATATTTTTCGAGTTGTTAAATAGTTAGAAACTTTTAGTGGTCTGGCGCTCCAAAATGAAGAAGAAGCTAAATAGAATGAGAAAAAAACAGCTGTTCGGTATGCTTTTTTCCCAGTAGTATCATTTGCCGGAACCTTTTCTTCATTATTTCCTGCTAATGGAACCCATTTATGAAAAAGAGGATCATCTACTGTGATTATAATCTGCACTTTTATTATGTGCATCGGTATTTCAAAGGCTGTTCTTGCTTTATTGCTCCAAAATCCTCCAGCCAACAGGTACATTATGGAGTATGTACATGTGAATGCACAATGAATGGACAGTCAATATGTTCAATGTCTAATTCTTTATTCAGCACAGCCTTACTTTTTCAGATTCTTTTTTCAACATTACATTAAGCTGGCAATGTAACTTGCCATCTTTAGACAGTGTAATGTGTTGTTTCTGTGACAGTTTCTTTGTATTTGGCATTCTTTATTTCAATGATCATTTAGATTGTAATGTACATGTACTTCTCTTCACTTCACCAACCTGCATGTATTAGATGTGTAATGAATTACTCGGAATGTGCTTGAAATAACACATTTCAGTGTTTACAGAGACACTTGATTTTTGGCCTTGTTTTTTTTTTTTGGTGGGGGGTGGATATCATTGTAAGAGATGCAGCAGAACTATAGTTTAATACTTTTAATGCAGTTTTAATGATATGAAAGATTTCACTGTTGCAAGCAATTGATAACAAGAACGAACTCCAGAATCTTCAATTTTCTGATTCTGTGGCATTTTATAATATTATAAGGTAGCAACATGAGTATGCATGGTTGGAATGACTTCGACAAACTCCATTTGTGCAAAGTCATGTTAACATGTACTGATCTATCCTTAGAGATGGGTTTTTTCTTGAAGTTTGCCAAGGGTCTTAATACAGTATCTTATGTTAAAAAAAATAAGTGTATCAAATCAGTTGTTTGATTAATCTGAAACACATGTAGATTTTTCTTATGCCCTGCTGGAAGGGAGATAAATCTTAGTTTTGTATTAAATAATACAGAATGGAATGCCAGAAAATCACTGTGAGGAATATTTTTAGAGGAATGTGATGTTTCGTGAATTGTATGTGATTTTTACTTCTGTCTAAATTTGGTTTTAATTTCCTGTACTTTTGTGCATACTCGTATACTCAATATCTGCAGTGATGTTTTTCCCACAAGGGCACTGTGTATGTTTAAAGAAGTTTAAAGTAATTTCGACTATGTTGCTTACAAGGGGAGGAGATTGGGAACATTTCCTAGAAGAAAAGTGAGGTACCTGAATTCTTGACGTTCAATAACATTCTCATTTATATCCTCTCGCTTCTGTTGTACCCTTGTCCCAAGTGATTGATAATATTTCACAGTATTCTGTTTTTAGAGGATTAGATTCAGGTATGTGGAACATGTATTCTCATGGCTTGGTTAATTGTATTTAATTGAGGACGAGTTTTCTTGGTTTGTTGGTGTTTGCTTTGAAATATATTACCCGAGACTGATTTCTGTTCGACCGATCTTTGCATAATTATGTGTTACTACCGGCGGAAAATTAAAAACTGCTTTCATGTGAACACTCTTTTGAAGCACATTGAAACTTTGTGCTGTAATATTTTGTGGAGTGCTTGTTTCATTATGCGCACTGTACGTGGACCCTTTCCAGCAGCGAATTCATGTTAAGAGGTGGTTCCGATGAGAGCTTAAACATGTCTGATTCATTTTCTGCAATAAATGTAACATCACAGCTAGTGCAGTGACTTCTATTTGCATGTATATCACAACTGCGGAGTCTTGCTAAATCTTGTAATTGCAAATCCCTACCCTGCCTATGAAAGCAGATCCACGGAGATTAGAGAATCAACCCCCCCCCCATGGTCGAGTCATTGACCAGTGAGATGGTTCTAGCATGACGCCGAAAACAATCAATGGAGTCTGAAAACCTTTAAGTTCCCTAGAACACAGGAAAAAGCATCACGGATTTCACATCTATGGGGGATGCCCCAAAACTAGTGGCACACCCAGATTTATTTATTTATTTATTTTTTTGAGGAGGAATGGACTGGAAATTACCCCCTAAACAGCTCGTGATGCTCAACCCCACCCACCCCCACAGGGGGACTGGAATAAGCTAGTGGTTTCACACGTAGGTCTGTACCGTATTATCGTTTTCAGAAAGGCTAAGAATGAAAATCTCTTTGGCATCAAGCCCCCTGATGAGGCCACTCATGGGTGCGCCACTGCCCCCCGGGGGTATGCATTCAAAACGTGTTACGCCCATGTTTTCTTTTATACCCCCTTGTATCGATTCTCATTATTTGCATGAAAGCCAGATTTGCCCTGTCTACCGAACCCCATATTTCGAAGTTTTAGCAGCGGGAAGTTGGGCTCCTTAATGCGACCTTTTCGCGATTGCTTGGTCTTACCGTATGAGGCGTCGATTATTTCGTCATCAGCCAAGCGCTCTTTCTTGTCGAAATCACGGTTGTCAAAAGACTTCCTAAAGGGGAAGTTAAGTTGGAGATTTTACGCAGAATCGGCCAATCGCGGCATAGCGGTGGGGTGATCGTGCAGATCGAGGAGGAAGAAATGTGCAGATCGACCGGTCGCACCCAACCTTTCGGTGACAATTCTGGGAATGTTTGTTTCACTTCTCTTTTGAACAGAAGTGACTGCCTCTTAAAAAAGTCCATACAAAGTTACAACAAAGTTGGTCATTGTGTACTTCCACGACGGTGGGGTTTGCTAGACTGAGGAAAAATATTATAAAACTCTTTTTTTTTAGAGTTAAATCATTGCTTTTGATTTTTATCTTTCTTCACTTTACGTGTTTATAATAGGGCGTATGCTGTACCGACTGTAAGTTTTGGGACTCGGTTTAGTTTGTTACTACATGTACTTAAGCGTGCTGTTTCATAACTGACCACAACTTGCACAAAGGCTGCTAGTTTTCGGGGGTCAAAAAATGTTATACTATTCGGCTTAACGTAATTTCCTTTCATCATAAAATTATATTTTAAAATGATAATGAAAGGTAGAATCTGATAAATATAACTGCGTAGCTTGAAGGAGAATAACTCAAAACAAAGACAGAAGGAGCAGGCCAAGTTTTCCATAGCCATGATTATGTTTGGACAGTTGATTGATATTGGTGTTTTAGGGTTGTTTTACGGCGTTTTTTAATCTCTCCTGACAAGCGGACGCGTATTAACAGCCAACCATTACGAAGATTGCAAGTGTCCTACTCAAAAAGTGCATGTGTGCCTACGCTTCAAGTAGGCCTGCAGTACCTTCTGGGTGTACATGTATACGCTGGACCCTGGATAAAGCGCGCAATAGCGTCACCGTTGTCATGGCCGAGGGGCCAGAGATCAATTACGCCCTTTGCATTTCAATGGAGAAACCTACAGGTAGGCCAAAAAACCAGTCCATTGAATTAAAAGGCCTTGCTCGTACTCCATGTGTTCAAGCTATAATAAACAGAGAGGGAGTTGCGGTCCTATTTGTGCGCGTCAGAAAGAAGTTTGATACAGTGCCAACAGCTTATAATATAGGGAGGAGTTGTGTGAAAATATTGAGGCTCGTGATTTCACACGTAACTACCTGATGGACGTATTGCTTCCTAAACTATAGAAGTGTCGAGCGTATTGCAGAACCTGTTATTCTTGAATGCTTGATAAATCGTTTTCTCCAGCCAATGGTGGTCTGTTGCAAGAAAAGACTGAGCTCGAAGCAAGTAGCTGAGAAGCTTGAATTCGTTAAGCAGAACCACACTTGCAACCGTGATTGAGATCGAGTGTACACCGAACAGCACAAGACATGTATAGACGTCACATTCATGAGGTAATAATTAAAAGATTCAATAATTGTGCGTTATTAATCAAGTTATATCATTGCTGAGTAACAGCTGATGAGTTTTGACTTTGTGCAGAACAGCAGAAGTTTGACATCCGTAGGTCGACATGTATGAACGCGTAACCATTTACAGTAGACACCAAATAAAAAGATGGTATGACATTTACCATCTCACATTAAATAAAATCCCCAAATATCCATATTAAATGGTCAGGGTAAATTCTCTCCGATAGCAATGAGCTTTTGCCCTGGGTTTCATTTTCCTTATTGTGAGTGTTTCTATTTGACGCAATAAAACCAACATTAAGTTACGGTATGTGTCTATAACCGCCATCTTTGTTCTTGGCGTTCTCCATCCACCCCCAGAAAGTGGGGAGTAAGAATCTTGTTCGCGTGTTGATTTTCGAAACCTCGTTCTCGTGTTCGTCTAACACGAGAACGGGGTTTTGAACACGTCCACGTTGTATCTCATGATAGTGTCGTATCTGAAACGCGGACGCAATAATGCCCACGACCACCTGAATCGACGGCACTTCACCGTGACAACCGACAGTAAAAACCATCCCGCAACCCTGCCTCAGGCTTTTAAGGGGAGCTATACCAAGCACTGCGTTGGATTTTTTTTCAGAAAACTTATAGGAGAAACGGGTTTACTCAACACAACCCCCTCCCCTGAATCTCAGCCCCTTCACTCTACGAGGGTTAGCTGGCTTACACAAAGACGTTGTATTTACGTATTTTTTCTTTGTTTTTGTTTTTCATGTTGTTGTTTTTTTCACAGAGGCTCCTTATTGCGGTAGAACAAGGGGACCTTCCCAATGTTCAACTTGCTGTTCAGCAGGGCGCTAACATCAACGAAATACCGGTCGGTATATAGGCCTTTAGTATACCTGGACCATTCCACACTAGTGTAGGGTCCTTTTTTTCGTGTGCCTGTCACATCTGACACAGGCCTATGATTTTGTAAGTTTAAAACATCCTTCAGTTTCTCCACAGGGGTTAAGTTATGCAAATTACCTGTCAGAAATGTGAAAATGACTTTGAATCACTTTTGATATTTCCATCTCAAATTACACAGGTCAGGTGTTACAGGGACTCAAAAATGCCCCAAATTGGCGTACTCATGGTACATATTACTCAATACCCACACACGTTTAGCACTATATACCTATATGTCTAAAACGTTTTTTTATTCAGCTTTATTTCGAAACAAATGCTAGAAAAGTCTTTTTGTGCTCGTTTTTTAAAAGACTTCGTTGAAGACAATTCTATGTTTCTATCACGTAGAGAGAGATAAAATCGCCAGTTTCAGTCTACCACTTTTTAATCCTTATAGTTCGTTCTTCTTTCTGCTGGCAGTGGGGTATGGAGTCAGTGCTGATGCGAGCTATTCGTTGCCGCCATTCACTTGTGGCTGAGTATCTTATTAAGCAAGGCGTTGACCTCGGTTATCATTATGAGGTGGGTAGGAAACTAGGACAATTACACTATACTTGGTATATGCAGTAGAAATGACATGTGATGAAACTAGCTGTCTTTCCTTCAAAAGTCGAAATCATTCTGTCAAATGAACTCATAGGTTGGACAGCCACTTGCAAAACAAAACAACAGAAATGGATCTTTTTTCCTTCTTTAGAAAACGAGCTCCCCGCGAGGCCCCACTAGACCGATGCAAGAAACGGCAAGAGACTACGCAGAGTTCTATGACCTGCCGGACATTGTCGAGCTAATCGACCGGAAAACGGGCCATTTCCGCTAAAAAGAGCAAGACAGGGTTGGGACCACTACTTTTGGGCGTAAGATGACGAAACATGAGGACACTAGACCGACGGTCACTTTTGCTGATACGGAAACTTCCAACAGAGAGAAGTTGTCAAAGGCCCCTATAGCCTATCATATTGCCCCAAAACCTTGACGCATGTTGAACGATCCGGGGAGTGTGTGATAGGGGTGAATTCGTTACAATTAGTGTTCAATTATTATAAGACAGTGATAGCCCAAAGTTTGGAGACACCGTTTTTGTATTAAATGTACAGATAATTACAGAATGAACAGGCAACGAAGTTCAATCTGATTTGTTACGGTATACCGATACGTTACGATTCGTGTTACTTATATAAAGTAGCCAGAGGCGGTGCCAGGTGTGTAGAAAATCTGTATGCATGTAGATTGTCAAACAGTCATTCCTTTTTATTAAACAGTCGTTTCTCTACAATAGACTACTTGTTAATGAAAACTTTTGTGGATATAATTCGACTCATTTCGTAATGTGGTGTGTGTGATAGCATTAAATTGTCGACGGACTATTACGTCATGTCTCCAAAAAGAAAAACAGAATTAAAACACTCGTTTCGGCCATCTGGAATAATTATTTGCTGGAACGTAGACATAAATGTGCCGAATGAACACATTCATTTTTACTCGGACGCTTCTTTTGGGGCTACAAGTTAAATCACATTGTCATGATAGCCTACTCTGGAAAACGTGATCCATTTATTTCAAACAAGTAGGCCTAAGTAACATTCATGCATTTTGGAGGTAAAGAAAAATTGAAAAAGTCAAAGTTTCATTAAAAGAACGTGAATTAGGTTTCAGGTGTGGACTCAAAGTATGAATTATTTCAGGGCAGAATTTCTGTATTCCCTTCGGTTCTTTCTCAACAACAAAAGTAAAAGAAATGTGTGACGAAGCATTTCTCTGGATTATTCCACACTAGAAATGCGCTGATCCTGCGGCGTACCACGTCCCGATAGCGTGAAACATCGCATACAGACAGACTAGTTTGCTACTGTTTTACATAATTCGACGCACCTTCTTCAATAAGGGAAGCTCAACCAGCTTACAGACGCAGGCTGTAACTTAGATGAGAGTTATTGTTCTTCCTCTTGATGCATGTTTATCGGAAGGGGGTACAGACCATTCAATAATTCGCGCGAATATTTTCAGTTGTGATGAGAAGCAATGAAAATCTTTGAGGTTATTTTGAACTTTCCAACACCCCAAAACAGAGAAAACAGTATTAAAAATGTTACATGGACTGTAAGGTTTAGGCATAGAAAACCACGATCAACAACAGCGCCCCCTATCCATCTTCACCAAACCCATTAACTTCATTAATTTGCTGTTCATGAATAATAAGTATATTAGGGCCTGTACATATTATGGAAACTTGAAATCTGACGTTAGCAGCAGATGCAAGATTTATTGCTGCGGGGGGGTGCTTTTTCACGCTTGGGAGTAATGTATTTGTCGCCGTGGTTTGAGCTATTTAATTTTTTTGTGTTGTCTTTAACTTAATTATACAGTAGGCACAATAAGTCCCCACGTGGTTTATGCCTCTATGGGGTCTAAAAATCTTTAAAATGCAATGACCGGGGGTTTGGGTTGGTGCCTGGACATATAACAACCTTAAACGCGTTATTATACCTAAATTATACGGGCCTACACTGGGGCTTGAGTTTAATTTATAGGTCTATTTGAGAACTAAATAGCATACAAAAAAATTGAACTTTGAGACCCCCCAGATGGCACTTTCACGACGTACTGATGTGCACTGGCGGGGAATATTCCTCGTATAAAAACACGTCTAAATGAAGTTCGCTAAGACGTCAAATTTGTAACAATTGGGGTCCGTCACGGCGTATAGTGGCAACTCTGTTCACATTAAAACCAATGTGACTTTCAGTCTGCTGATGGAAACTGCAAGGAAAAATGTTGATCGACCCATATACTTTACCAACTGAACTATACATGGACTTTAGTTCAGTTTAGATATAGATTCAAATTTAGCTGACTCATGTTATTTCGCGTTTTCATCTAAAATTGGTGCAGGCGTCGGACCCATGCAACGGTGGTGGGCGGTGCATAGTAGTGACAGGCTTGCTCGGCAGTTAAGATAGGACAATATCTTTAGAAAACGTGATCTTTAGAAAAGGTCCGTCATCAATTTTCAGGTCAACCTGTCGAACGGAAAAGCCCTTAGGCCTGGTCTGTTCTCGTTCAGGCCTAACTATATTAGGCATGCTAGGGGGAGGGGTTGCAGGGGGTGTGTACCCCCCCACACACACACGCGACTAAAAGGTCCGCTTTTGAGGCAGGAAAAAAAGGGCTACAGTTGAGTATTTTGCGCAAGAAAGCGCGATAAAGTCCTGTAGTTACGGGCTTGTCTTAGAAAATTCTCTCTGCACAGGCACACTGCGCACTAAAGTCAAAGCATATGGAGCTGGGACGCTCCTTATTCAGTCTGCCATTATCTTCTCTCCAAGTATCCACTTCTTTATACATGAATATATTGTCACGTCAACTACTGGATGTTGCCGAGAGGCGAGCTTTAATTCATGTTGTTTTTTTCTAACTCCTCGAGCAGGTCCTGTGAGATGAGTTGCGAACGACATGTCAATATGACTTTTTGGAATGGAAACGGTTCGAGGGTTTTGGTGGACTTTCTTACTGAAAAGTACCTTACTCATCATGCTCATGATTCGATAAATCCTAATTATATGGACATACGTGTTTTTGCTGGTAAAATGAATAGTTTGGTCGTATTAATGTAGGGGTTGTATCTCTGCCAAACACGCTGCTGCCAAGCTACGCCAGTGAACCTTCTACAAAAAATCCAAAGCAAATATGGAGCGATGCATAACGCCAGTCCCAGCCTCGGGATATGACTGTTTACCCGGCGCGCAGTTGGGATTACAGTGGTTCGGGTCGACCGCTTCCAGTCTTTTGTTATCTCCTGTATCAGTGGATGGTATGTATTGATGTTGTGGCAACTACCACGGATCAATAAACCTACCATAATCCATTGAAATATTTACCACAGCATCGCCAAATCTATTGTCAGCGGTTTAAAAAAGACGGTGCCCATCAGTGGTTTTTCAATGTGCTCAGAAATGAATTTCATGGATGTTTAAGCAACTGCAAATATCCTGGCGTTGCCAGGTCCTATTATAATCAGAAAAGTACACATTTTTAGACGGTGGCCGATGTACGTTGATCTGTGGATGTGTGGGGCAAACAACACGAGCTTCAACGTCTGTGGGTACTGTATGGAGTACTAAAACGTGAGTGGACGGCGACCTCATCAGATCTTGATATTTCCAGTCACAAGGCAACGGATCACCAGAAGGTAACAAGTCATTAATGGTACGATTCCATCAGCCATGGTGTTATATGGTGCGCCATTTTAATTTCAAGTGGAAACACACCAAAACAGAATTGTGTAGACCATGGATTTGTCAGTAAGATCATTTTGTTTTGTACAATGGTAGATCCTGTTGGCAGATGTTGTCGACCGTCGAGTCCGCTTGACTTGGACTAGATTCGCTATTTTTGCGACTTGTGACTTGACAAGCTTGTAACTACCAGTGTTTGACTTGTGACTTGACTTGGACTTGCAAAAAAAATGGTTTGTGACTTGACTTGGACTTGCAGAAATTGACTTACTCTCACCTATGGCTATTGGGGCCATGACCCCCCCCCAACAAAAAAGACCTTAAAGAATTTTTTGAAAAATAATGAGAGACAGGCGATTTTTGTCTCTAGTTCCTTTCCATCCAAAAAATTGTAAAAAGCCTCAAACTGTTGCCTTACCCTTTTAAAAGGCTATAAAGGTAACAAAAATTCCTAATTTTTGCCCCCCCCCCCAAAAAAAGTTCGGCGTTTCTAAAAAGTTGGCTCTGGGTCCGCCCATGGCCCTATAAACCATGTTCTAATTCTCATTAAAGTAATATCCTAGATTAACGTCTTCGCAGGAAACCACCTGGAGATAATTCGGTTGGGTAGATCGATTGATGAAACGAGTCTCGTAGAATTATGCCATTTGTCATTTTAATGGGAAAGCCATGTTTTGGATGCCTCACAGAAAGTATTCGTGAACCAGCTACAATATGTTACACATCTCTTTTTTCAAATGCTGCTTTTGCTGTAATTAAGATATTGGATGGGGTCCCTCTGATGCAGAGAGTTGGGGAGGGTATCGTCCTTTATGATTGATCATTCTAGCTCTCCAGATCTAATGGGCATTGCCCAGGCTTTAATGACGCAAGATACAGGCGCTTAATCGCCGTGATGCGCATATATCAATTTGCAGGTTTTTTGTTTAACCTGACCAACGATCGGACGAGCATGCATGAGTTTAGTCAGACAGATATTACGTGCTTGGGATATGCGCAGGATAAAGTGTGATATTGAGGAGCAGGTGGCTTTTAGACACTATTATCACCCGATGAAGTAATTAAGAATAGGGCAAAAATTAAAAATAAAGGTTTTTCATTCTTTGGTTGCGGTGTTCATTTCCGACCGATCCCTAGTTTTGAGTTCGACCGAGGAAAAATCCATGTTTATGCCGCCAACCCTATGTGAAATTTTCTGCTGAAAAAAATGAAAATCTTAAAAATTTCTGGGCGAGAGCCAGTAACTTTTTTATGTAGGCCTATTTGTCCCCCAATGAGCCATCCCTAAAAGTAAAAAAAATAAGAGAGAGAGAGAGAGAGAGAGAGAGAGAGAGAGAGAGAGAGAGGGGTGGAGGGAGGGGGAGAGAGCAACCTAGAATGAACGACGGACGCCCTATACTACCCCCCACGCCTCCCCCAGGGGGCCGTCCATAAAGTACGTACGCACGAAATGCCAACGTTTCAGGCCCCCTCCCCCCTTACGTACGCGTACGCATTCCACAATTCTGGAGGACGCTGCTGGTTTTTGTTTCATGAGCAATGTTGCGATTTACTTATAATGGGCGTTGGCACAGGGGGGAGGTTAATGGTGGTGTGGACAGTTGAAGATACTGTGTTTGAATTTCGACGCATAAAATTTGATTCTACTATTTATTTGTATGAGAAAGTCTATTGATATGACGGAGACTGATTACAGGCAGATTTTTGGTTTGCGTACGGTACGCAATGGCTTAAACCACCCTCCCCTCTGTATGCATGGTAAACGCAACGACACCCCCCCTTCGTATGCCTGTATCGTATACAGTGCTTTATGGACGGCCCCACGTAGCATTTGTACCCGTGTCACGATCTTGCCTTAATGGGTATCATTAAATTGCAAGCTGGTTGAGGTGGTAATTTTGGTACTTGTTGGAAGTCACTTTTTCATTTGTTTGTAAATTTTATTTGCGACCTTGACGGCCCGAGTGGGGGGGGGGGGGACGCAGTCTAGTTGTAGGATTCTCAGCGAAGGACTTGGGCAAGTTTACTATGGAGAAAGGAACACATCGAGAGCTAGCTAGCGATGATGCATGGTAACCGTGCCGGATAGAAGTATCGCACCCGATCCGACGATGCCGCGTGTTCCGATGTTTTCGATATCTGCATGTAACAAATTACATGATATAACTTGAACCTAGTGGGGAATACGTGTAACTGCTATATGTACCGGTACAATATCACAGCCATCATGTAAGTAACCATGGTAATACATGTATCAGCCCAGTATATGTACCTCGCAATGCTACATGTAACATCGTATACACGGTATAAGGCCGCGTGTAACATGATGTAGGCTACTGGATGTACATTGCGGGAAGTGTCAGCAGCCACAAGTTCACCGTGGTAAATACAAAAACAGGGCCCATGGTAAACCAAACATTACATGCATTTTTTCTCATACATGCATGTACACATATGTGCACTTAAAATAATTTAGGACACTCATTTCAATCTACTTTCAAATTTTGTTTTATTCATAGCAGTAGTAACTAATTGTAATAATTTTGTTTATGTTATGTAAATATTTACATTTTGTGGTACATTTTTCAGCATTAGGGAGACATTGGCTTTTAGGGAGACATTTCAGTGTCTCCCTATTTTCAAACTACCCGAAGGAGGCTTTTACTGTCCGTATTTTGAGAGATGATAGTTTAGGGCCTAAAATGAAAACATAGAAAGTTTGGTTCAGGTCAGATTAAGGAATATTGAATTATGGGACCAGTAAAGTTGGAAAAATTTTGTCCATGTTCAATGGAAATGTCTCCCTAATGATCCACTAGCCGTAATTGTGATATTGTTTTTATTTCCGCATGTTTTTGCATTTATAATCTTTGAAGAATTTTGATTTTATTTCCTCATGTTTTTGCATTTATAATTTTTGAAGAATTTTGAAAACAGAAAAACTTGAAAATCTTATCTTGCTCAAGGTTAACAGAGAAAATATTGAAGTGTTTACTTAAAAATGTAACATTTTTTATACATGCACATATACCATCTCATAGGTTTTGTGCACAGAGTGCCACGTGATGTCCGCGTATGGAACACTTTCTGGGTTCCATTTGGCCTGCTACTGGTTTCTGAGACAGTTGCTATGGTAAACACTTATTTCCTTCCTCTTCAACAGCTTCAATCTGGTGTATTGTACATGTACCAGTAATTTAAACAAGGAGCCTCCAAATTGAACCATGAGCCATTGGAGCTTACNGGCAGAAACTTCGGGAGGTAAGCCAAATTGTTTTAATAACATTGTTTCCATCACTGTTTGCTCAAAAAAATGTTTGTCAGAACTTGAAGATGTCAACAGAAAGCTCTGTTAAATTGTTGATATCTTTTAACAGCTGTTCATTCTGACCCCAAATACATGTAGTTTGATGGAAATTCAGCCAAACAGCCCTCTTAATCCTTTAAAAGGATCTAAGAATAATTACAAATAATTTAATGATTTTCCTTTGAATTTAAGTTATAAACAGTGAAAACTTTGGCATGTGGGTAGTAATGAATTCACACTAACAAACCTTCCTTATTTTTAGAAGTATTATATTCATATACTTTACAGTTTCAGCTGGCCCAATAGTCTCATAAGTATTCTGATTTCAGTAAATGTTACGCTGAACTTTATTTCGTCAGTTCACAGCAGGTATCATGTTTCAGTGATAAATTGCATGCCATTGTTGATGATCACCATTTCAGTCAGTCATTGAGGCTGTGAATCGAGGTGACCTTCTTCAAGTTGAAGCTCTTCTGAACAAAGGGGCCGATGTGAATGAAAGTGAAGGTGGTTACCTCTCAAAGCGCACCCTGCTTATTATGGCAGTGGACAAGGAGTATGTGGATGTAGCAAGTCTTCTGGTAAACAGAGGAGCTGATCTCAGTGTTACTATTATGGTGAGTTGCCATGAAAAGGATCATTTGAACTTGAGCAAACTCAAGGAATTGATGCCCCCCAAAAAAGGTATTCCTCAAGGTATTCCGCAAGGTATTGCGGTAGATGATTGGTATATGGGATTTCTTTTTAAGCGGTAACTTTCTCTGGTTGTCTTGAAAGAAAGTGACATTTCAAAGTGAAGTCGGACTTCTAAAGAGGGCCAAGACTTCCAGTAGTTTTGTAGTTTCTTTAAAAAAATTAGCATTCTACTCTATTTGCCTGGACATCCCAGTGCAATCTCCTTTTATACTATGAATGAATACTTTCGCTTTCGGGTCAACTCGTACCTTGGGCAACTCGTTCCTTGGATGACTCGTGCCTTGGACGACTCGTCCCGTGGGCAACTCGTACCTGGGACAACTCGTACCTTGGGCAACTCGTACCTTGAGTTAGGACCACTTGTACCTTCATGTTATCAGTTTGGTTGTAACTTTTTGCTCTTCCTTTTCAGTATGTTTAAGATCAGATTTGACAAACATATCAAGGAAAAATCTTCATAAATCTCCCGGAGAGATCTCGAGCACTAGCATGATTTTCTGCATAGTGCCTGCAGTGGGCATTTGCACTGTCAGTTTACGTGACGGATGTCGAACAACCCGACTGTTTACCAACTTGACTTCTTTATTAACATTGCTTTGGGGGCGCTTTACTAAACCCTAAATTCTTTGGGGGGGCTTCAATTTATTCTTATGGGTCTGGGATAATGTAATTAGACTTTTTCATTTTGCAGGGGAATGATTGCTTTGTTTAGTAACTTTTTGGGGGGGTGTACTTAATAAAACTTGTTATGTCTGGATTTCTTTTGGAAATGTTTCTGGTCTCATTTTTAAATTTTTGGGGGGGCTGGTTGCCTTCCTTATGAAAATTTTTTTTTTTGGACAAGCTACAACTGACATTGCTTTATAAACTTTGAAGTAAATTAAAACTGCTTGGTAAAGATTCTGAAATGCGTGCAACAATGGCTGGCCATGTTGATTAGTGTCAGTTGCCTGACCGCGCTTGCATATGCACGACATTGACGCATCTCACTTTAATGTAATTTTTGGTGAGCTGCGAAGCAAATGCAAGCCTATGTAATATCGATTTCTGTCTTCTGTCCGTCCGGCCGGCCGTCCTCAAATGTTAAAGTGTTTCCTTGCAGGTCCATACACTGTAGGTGTTAAAATGTGCCACTGAGTGCTTGTTTGCTTCCTCTTGGAATTCCATCAGTGTGTAAATAGTGTTATATGGCATTAATGTTTAGAAACTTATGAATTTAATGAAAAAATTAAGTAATTTAATTATAAAAGTTGAATGTTAATGTTTTGAGTTGTATTGTGTACTAACCCTGTAGTACATACATGTACATATGTACTGAGCACTCCAGTAATGTACATGTACATGCACGTGTATATGTGTAGACAGTGTTTAGACACATACTAATGTACATGTACAGTATGTGGGGAAATTGTTGGGGGGGACTCCAAGTGACAGATTAGAATGGGGGAGGGGTACTTGTTGGAGGAGGATCATGGGGACAAGGTACATGTATGCAGAAAATAGATGAAATGCTGGACAAGGTTGGGATGATGGGG